GACCCGGCACGGAGCAGGACCCCCCCTCTCCCGAGCCCGGAGCCCCCACTGCCTCCTCCTCGGGAAACAACATGGACTCCTCCCCCAAAGAGGAGAAGATGGAGGCGTCTTCGTCGTCCTCTTCCTCTTCGTTCTCCTCCTCTTCGTCGTCCCTGCTTCAGGAGGCAGGGGAGGAGCCTGAGAGACACAATGATGATGAGGAAGAGGGGAGGAGAGGTGAGGGCCAATCAGAGGAGGGGCAGGAAGAGAAGGAGGCGGGATCTAAAACCAGTTTAGCCCTGCCCCTTCCTGAGGACAGCGCCACCGCCTTCCCATCATCCCTTGGGCTTGTGGGGGAGGGGCCAGAGGGCTGCATAGGCCCCGCCCCCGCTTCCTCTTCCTCCTCTTCCTCCCCGCAGGCGTTCCCGGGCGCCTCCCTCCCCCCCCGACATGCTGGACATGCTGTACAGGACGGTGGAGGCCACCATCGCCATAGTTACCAAACTGTCTGTTAAAGGCCCGCCCACTTCATGACATCATCACCTCACCGCCGTCATGAGATCTTAAACTCCTCCCCCTTTTCTCTCTTCCTCTCTGGAAATCTGACTTTTCTGCTCAGAGGGAAAAAAAAACGTTTCCGGTTTTTTCCCTGTTTTACTTCCCGCTGTTCCCGCGCTGCTGATGTTCAGTCGCTCGGTTCTCCAGCTTCAGTGGCGCCCGCCGTGTTTCGCTCTTTAAAACTTCACGCGTTCCCCGTTTGAAAACAGAAAGTCGTTCAAAAGCTACAGCACATTTTTTTCAAAGGGCAAAAAAAGAAACGTTTCGTTGTTTTTTTTGCGTGTTTTATACTGATTTGAATTTGTTTTGGAAATGATTTGTTTGTTTGAGGTTTGCTGTAACGGGGAAAGGTTTACAGAACTTTTGTCTCCTGTATGTAATTTAATTTTATGGCATTTTTACTGTGTATAAAAATGGTCGTTCTCTGTGCCAGTTTTGTACTTTATGAACGAGGCAGGTGAAAGTTGCCTTGACTCTTTCTGTGGTTTAAATATCCAGAAACTAAGTTTACCTGTAAATTAAGAGAACCACAAGAAACTTGATTCTGTAAAGAATCCTCTCTAGTCATTGCCTGAAGGTGTATATGAAAACTATATAAATATATATATAAATATCTTTATATATATATGAATATATAAAAGCGGTGCTTTATTTGACTGTGGTTGTAATAAAGCCCCCCCATGTTGGACCAGCTGGAGCTTTTATTTTGTTTACTGAAATACATTCCATAATCTGTTTCGCTTCTTCTGCTGTGCTCTGATCTTCTTCTGATTTTATTTTAATAGAGAATAAATGAATAAAAACAGTTTTAATATGAAGGATTATGAACTGAAATCCATCTGAAGCTGTGAGGGTTTCTTTATTTCCTCAGTGTTTGTTTAAAGGGGTCGTTCTCTGCTTAACTTCAGGTTCAAATTTCCTGTATTTCCTGTGACATGTTTCCATGCTTTAATGTTCAATGTGTTGGAGCGCTAGCCAAAGAAGCGCAGGTGTTGCATAGTGATGTCACAATAGGCGCTTTTCACACCGGAGTACTTTTCCCAGGAATAGCTCCGATAGTTCTTGGGAATTTGCGTTCACACCAAAAATATCTGGAACTAGAACTTAGTTCATGAGAACCTTTTCCGTCCCTGCTAGAGAGCAGGTACTTTCATGGGAGAAAAAGGTTCCCATTTCTGATTGGCTGGGCGGATTGCAAACCACGCCCCTTAAAACTCCCAAAAAGTTTTGTGAAGCCGGCATTTTATTTGCTCACATTAGCATTAATAGCATTAGCCCAGTGCACCAACGGAGAGTGACTAACTTATGGCAACACAAAATAAAACGTGGAATCGGTGGTGATGAGGACGTGTCGGCGCTCCGGGACTTCGGGTGGCAGTATACGCCGTGAAGTTGTTTGCGGCCTGCCAGTAAACCCAAAGCAGCAGCAGAAGAAGAAGTGATGTCAGCGGCTTCATTTGCCTAATCCTCTCTCAGGGAATTTATTCCGGTGTGAACGCGATTTACTAGGACAGTTTACGACACTAAAGAGTTTGGCGGGACCAAGTACGGCAAAGTACTTGTTGTGAAAGCGGCTTATGTTACAGAAGTAAACAAATAGAGGCGTTTCAGGCAGGACAGAAACTCCCTCTGGAGGAACACAAGGATGTGAGCCTCTGAGACCATTCACATGCACTAAAACCTATATGACACTACAGGAGAGGAACGCCCCAAACAGACAGAACAGGGCCTCTTATGAAAGATTGAAGTAAATTGTTTTCAGCTTCCAGATGTTTACACCAGCTTCAACGTTTCTGCAGAGGATATGTAAGTACCAAACTTTTATTTATATCACTGGTGTGGGGGCGGCTCATGTCAGGTTTACCACTTAATTTAAAGGAGACCTATCATGCTATATGTGAATAATATATTGTAGGGCCATACCTATATAAGGTATATGTATACGTTTTCTTTTTCAAAATACCAAACCGATCATGCATTTTAGCCATGCCTCATTTTGCTCTGTTTTCCTCTCCTGTCTTTGCGTGCGCTGCAGCTGACCACGCCCCCCTGCAAAGGACGGGGCCGAGTTACGAGCGTCATGTTACCATGCTGTTGCCATGCCACGGCAACCTCTCATTCCCCTGATTGGTGGAGAGTTGGCCATATAGGCGGAGCTCCTCGTCACTGATGTCAGACTATTTTCAAATCTTTATCAGTCTGTAACAGATCTGTTTTTAGAGATTTTGGGTATGGAGGAAAAGAGATGTTTTCTGACACTTGGTGAGTTCCCTGACACACCGGGGACACATATTCATGTATAAAATCCGTACAAAGGTGCATTTTGCATGATAGGTCCCCTTTAATAGATTTATTAAATGCTATTATGCTTTGTCGAACCTCACAGTATAAATAAATATACAGTTTGTCTTCAAGCTAGGTTAATTGATTAAAAACTAAATTATAAAAGTAAATTGTAATGTTTAAGGCAAGTGAATTATAAAAAAAAAGTTAAAGGGGAAATACTAGTTTACTTTTTATATAAACCATGTTTACCTAGCTAGATTAAAGTAAGATTTATTGCCGTTTTTTTCACTTAAAGGGGACCTACTGTATCATGCAAAATGCACTTTTTTATGTCTTTTATACATAAAGATGTGTCCCCGGTGTGTCAGGGAACTCACGCAGCGTCAGAAAATAAAACCCTCTCTTTTCCTCCGTACTCAAATCTCTAAAAATGGGGCTGATCCAGATTTGCGTCCGTTACGACGTAATATCTGAAATGTGGACCCACGGCCCTATCAGAAACGTTGCTATCAGAAACAATGGCCGACTGTTTTGGACGTAATATGGTCGGTGTTAACATTAGCATCGCTAACACTCAGAGCTAACCTGTACTGGAGAGCATGTGTGTGAAGTAAAAAGGAACTCACCTTGTGTTATAACCGGCAAGAGAGAAAGCCTTTGAGCTCCATACTGTTTCAGAGACAATCCTTGATAATCCATGATATGGCGTTTCATCACGGCAGCATTTAGTTTAGACAGTAGCGGCCGTGTCCCGCATGAGCTCCGCCCGTCTTTTTTTATTTTAAATAATTTTTTTTTTTTTAAAGCTTTATACCCCAAATCAGCACTTTTGAAACAGGAAGTGAAATAGAGGCATGGCTAGAATGGGTGATCTGTTTGGTATTTTGAGCAAAACACTTCATAGACATGTTTTTTATATATCTGAGACCCATGCTATTGCCTACAAATAGCATGATAGGTCACCTTTAAATAACACAGCTGATCAACAACTGGATCAGTGGGATTTGAAGTAAATGAAGACAGAGTATCAAAGTGAATAAATATGTATTTAGCAGGAAATGATTGTAATGCATTACTCTTTTTAATTGTGAAGCTACTTTGTATGTTATAATGCTGCAGTGGAGTTGGAGAAAGGTAAATGTGACTCCTGACTGTTTCTAAGAGAGAATCAAAACAACTCCATCAAATCAAACACGTGGCACAGCTCCAGTATGCCATGCTTTACCCCTCACATGTTTTCTGCTGAGCCTCCTTCATCAGGGTGGGAGCTTCTTTGTTTACAGCAGGTTAACAATATGACTTCACAAGAGGAAATATAGATTTAATGAGTTTGGCTGTCAATTCATGTTAAGGTTAAAACAGATGTTTGAAGGGATGCAATGCAAAAAAGAAGAAGAGATTAAATCATTAAGAAAGATTTACATTGTTGTACAATTGTCTTTTGTCATTTATATTTGTAATTTGTCACATATGACAGAATCACCTGAAGAAATCAATATCAAGTTCAGAGACGCATTTCTGCATCGAACTGCTGGTTATTTAATCATAAGATATCTGAAGCGGCATTACAAATACTCAACTTCATTCTACAGCTGTGATTCCTTTCAGGTTGATACATTTTTTTTTCATTTTTCAATCACAATAAATGTTATTGTCCATACATACAGTACGGAAAGTGTCACAAAGAAACGTTGTAACAATGAAAGAATGAAATAGAAGTATTAAATGACTTGCCCGTGGAGAGTAAAACAATATATCCATATCTACACATAATTCATCAAAATACCTACAAATATCAAAAAGTTAAACTCATGACCCATAGTGCTATATAGCGTCTCATTATTAACTAGATGTTGATAAAAGGAGAATTGACAGCTTTTGTATGACTTGAACACATTTCTTAAAAACCAAGAATTCACAAAAAACATAATTAAGCAATCCCATGACTTTAAAAGCTATAAACACATTATAATAAAGTATAACAAAATGATAAACTATACAGATAAACATATAATTGGTTTTGCTGCACTGAGACTTTGAGTAAAACGTGTAAAACTCTGTAAATAAAACATGATCAAATCTTCTTAACATTTAAAATCTTACAGACTCAAATTAAATTCTGATTATCATCTGTTGTTTTTTACCTTGATTATATCAAAAGGATCTGGACAGACGAAGTCAGAATAAAGTCTGAACTAACACTCCTGAGCATCACAGAGGAATCTCACTTTGACAGATTTTGATATCAGCAGTTTTAGCATCACCAGCTTTTCCAATACTGAAATATGGGAAGAGTTTCTCAGTGAAAGTGTCTGTGAGAGTGCAGATGGGAGTCATGTGTTCAGGGGCGTAGAAGGACACCTCCCCCCTGTCATAGTCCAGCTGGACTCTGATCCTCTGGAGATTCTTCTCCACTCTGACAGTCTCACCACCACCATTACTGTATTTTCCACTGAGATGTTTTAAACACCAGATTCCATATTCTGGTGAGGCCGTCAACTCTCCCTTCCTGTCAGCTGACTCTTTAGTCAAACCTATAATCCAGGCAGGATGATCTCCCACCTCCACCTCCCAGCTGTGTCTCCCTGAGCTGAAGCCCTCAGAGCCCAGAACATTAGGATACTTAGTGAATCTCTCTGGATTACCAGGAAGCTGCTGATATTTGTCTCCATGTCTCACACTGGTCAGATCATCAGACAGAGAGAGCCAGCTGCTTGCAGTGTTTGGGTCCAGAATGACAGGACTGAAGTGGACCTGGTCCTTCATCTTCTCCCAGACTCTGAAGGACAGGTTGCCCAGGTGTTTGGCCACATCTGTCAGCGCTCCTGAGAGCAGCTGTGGGTCTGACAGTGCGCTCTGGACTCTGGCTCTGCTCTGAGTGGCTTTATAACTGCTGAGGAAGGGCCCGTTGTGTTTCTGCAGCTCTTCTTCAACAGCAGAGATACTGTGTGACAGAGAGGAGATGTGCTCCTGAATGCTCTTCATCTCTCTGCTGATAGTCTTCCCCTTCAGCTCCTCTTCCTCCCTCAGAGCTGCCAGTCTGGACTCCTCTTCCTCTTTCAGGAACTGGTGGAGCTTGATGAACTCTGCTCTGATCTGCCTCTCTGTGGACAGCAGCTGCTTCTCGGACACTTGAATCACTTCCTTGTATGTTTCCTCCACTCCTTTGTATGTGTCCCTCTTGTCCTGCAGAGACTCTAAGTCAGATTTCAGCAGGTCCTTCAGCTCACTGACTGCTTGTTCTACAGGAACCACCTTGTGACCCTGGTGGAGAGAAAACTCACAGACAGGACACACAGCTCTCTCTTCATCCTTACAGAACAATCTAGGCTCTTCTGGATGTTTACTACACACCACCTCCACCTCCTTCTCTCTTGTCTCTGTCTCAGATGATCCAGCTTTCTGTCTCTCAGCAAAGGAGTCAGCCAGCTCCTTCATTGTAAAGTTCACTATGGGATAATCTTTAGAAGATTTTCTTTTACAAATGGGACAGTTTTTGTTCTTACTTTGTTCCCAGAATGTCTGCAGGCAGCTCGAACAGAAGCTGTGGTTGCAGCCCAGAGACACGGGATCTCTGAAAGTCTCTGAGCACACATGGCAGCTCAGGAAACTCTCAACAAGAACGGTTTTCTCAGCCATTTGATATTAAAGACTCACCAACTTCCAATGTCTCTCCACTTCTCCCCAAATATACTCCAAACGTGTCTCGCAGCAGAGATCTCACACCCTGTAATGGCGTCTCAGCTCTTCAACAATGTCAAAATCCTCTTTCGTTTTCTCTGCCCTCCGTCACAGGGTGAATGATCAACATCAGGAAATGCTGCTATGTCATTTATTCACCAGCAGATGGAGTCAGGATGTCTTTCAGAGGGAAATGTACTTTGGTATTCAGTTCAGGACGATGACTTTGTCCAGGTAGGCCTATCTGTTGGAAGATAAACACATTAGATTGAATACGTTTAAAAAAACAACAACGTGACAAAAAGGAAAAAGCTCATATATCAAAGTTTGAAGTGGACAGTTTTTGCTCTTACTTTGTTCCCAGAATGTCTGCAGGCAGCTCGAACAGAAGCTGTGTTTGCAGCTCAGAGACACAGGATCTCTGAAAGTCTCTGAACACACATGGCAGCTCAGGAAACCTCAAGAAGCAGCTCACCTTTACTTCCCCTCGGTTTGCCTCTTACGGTCCTCTAACTGTGCGTTGCTGGAGATCTCCCGCAGTGTACTGGTGTCGAGGCTCTCTTCAACAATGTCAGAATTCGCTTTCAATCCTTCTAATCTCTTTTACTAGTTAATCATTGACAGTTATAAATGCAGTCATCTGTTTTTATGACCAGCAGATATATTGGAAAGATGAACTTTAGAATCTGAAAGACTTCCAAGTTCTGACTCAAACATGTTTTAACCCATTTGTTTCCTCCGTTTGATCATCTGACCAGTGTTCAATCTAAACGTAACCCTTGTACGGTGTTCGGGTCTGTGGGATCCGTTTTCATTATTTAGCTAAAGAAAAATGATATGATCAATTATTTTTTCAAACTCACTCAATGGCCTTGGCTCATTTTCTGTGAAGAACATCAGAACACATTTTCAATGACCACCCACTGCCCCCCCCCTCCCTACACATTGATATTACATACAGGATGTTCTGGTCCACTGGACCCGGGGCTAACAAAAGTGGAAAAGTACTGTGTGTTTGTGTGCAAAATAAAAATAAATAAAAATAAATAGCATGATGGGTGACCTTTAAGAGAAACTCATGGCTGATGTTCAGTTGATTACTTTCCCTACATTACATCTAGACTTGTTACATTAAAATATGTAAAAGCAGAAACACGTCAAAGCAAACAGCAAAAAAGCAGACCATTTGAAATGAATTTAAAATGTGTTTTATTATACAGATGTTTTATGGTCCAGTGTTACTACAGAGCTCCAGAAATATTATTTACATTTTTGCGAATAAAGTGCAAAGATGGATCAAATGTTTGTCTGGAAATAAAGAGTGACATTTGAACATCAGATATTTGTTAAATTATAAATATGTTTGGTTAGTTTACGACAAAATACAATCGAGTAAATTGAATGAATCGACAGGCTGATGATAAAGAGTCTCTGTACAGAAACAGAGACTTTCTGTCTTCATTATTTTCCATTTGACCTGCTTTCATAATAAATCGTCTTCTCGGAATAAAGCACCATCTTATTTATGATTTGTTTCGTTTCGCTCAGGCTGATCAGAGGATTTGTTTAAAAATAAAAACTCAATCTGAACACGACTGCAGCTGATTCTCGTTGAGTCAATTTCAATCAAATCTGCTGCTGTGATGTTTGTGTTTGTCTGGAGAGCGCCACTTTTTGACACTTTAAAAAGCTGACTGTCATTTAATTTGGTCCGTCATTACAATAATAAATGTAAGATCTAAAAATGTATAACAATCTTTTTCCAGAGCTTTCAGCAGCATTTCATGGACTTGCTCAGTAAGGAGATCACTGTTTCAAACATCCATTTATCAATTATAGCGTCGATTAGCAGCCTTTGGACCAAGGTGTTTTGAAACTGCTCAAAAAGTCTAAATGTTTAGGAAGCAGACGGCTTGTAATGTTTCTAATCTTTAACACAAAGTGGCTTTAAATATATTTAAATATCAGTCGTGATGTCGACTGTACAGTCTGCAGAGTGTTTAAATATCAGAGGGAGTGAATCAGCTGCTTTCAGATCAGAGAGTCGTTCTGCTTTCCTCTCCGTCTCTCTCCTCGTTCTTCCACTGTGCGTTTGCTTTAAACCTCACACTGTCTCCGTCCGTCCCTCCGTCTTCTGCTGCATTCTCCTGTTCCCTCATCTGTCAATGAAACAAATACAGGACATTTAATCAAATACTTTAAAGGTCCTCTACTATACTCTTTTTTTCATCAATATATTATAGGTCTCAGATATATCCAGAGCCTATCTCTGATTGGCTGAAACACCAAACAGATCATTGCAGCATTACCCATAATCCCCTCTGTTTCAGCCGTTTCCAAAGTGCTGATTCTCTGTCTGTTACTTTAGATGAAAATAAGGAGCCCCTCCCCACGCCCCTCTGAGAGACATTTGGTTACAAAGAACTCAATGGTGCTCTAGGAGGAGATTCAGGTGATAAGGGGGGGGGGGGGTTACCTTGGTTGCTGATTGGCTAATGGTTACACAAGACAACACATCGTTATGACATCATAAAGTGGACAAAATCTGATCAGCTCATTTTCAGACAGGTTTTTATAGAAATGGATCAAAAAGAGAGAGAATCTTTGTTCCTGAAACTTTCAGAGTCTCTTTCCACAGAGGGGACACATGTTGATGTAGAAGAGACATGAAGAAGAGGGGACACATGTTGATGTAGAAGAGACATGAAGAAGAGGGGGACACATGTTGATGTAGAAGAGACATGAAGAAGAGGGGACACATGTTGATGTAGAAGAGACATGAAGAAGAGGGGACACATGTTGATGTAGAAGAGACATGAAGAAGAGGGGACACATGTTGATGTAGAAGAGACATGAAGAAGAGGGGACACATGTAGAAGAGACACGAAGAAGAGGGGACACATGTTGATGTAGAAGAGACACGAAGAAGAGGGGACACATGTTGATGTAGAAGAGACACGAAGAAGAGGGGACACATGTTGATGTAGAAGAGACATGAAGAAGAGGGGACACATGTTGATGTAGAAGAGACATGAAGAAGAGGGGACACATGTTGATGTAGAAGAGACATGAAGAAGAGGGGACACATGTTGATGTAGAGGAGACATGAAGAAGAGGGGACACATGTTGATGTAGAAGAGACATGAAGAAGAGGGGACACCTGTTGATGTAGAAGAGACGTGAAGAAGAGGGGACACATGTTGATGTAGAAGAGACGTGAAGAAGAGGGGACACATGTTGATGTAGAAGAGACACGAAGAAGAGGGGACACATGTTGATGTAGAAGAGACACGAAGAAGAGGGGACACATGTTGATGTAGAAGAGACACGAAGAAGAGGGGACACATGTTGATGTAGAAGAGACATGAAGAAGAGGGGACACATGTTGATGTAGAAGAGACACGAAGAAGAGGGGACACATGTTGATGTAGAAGAGACATGAAGAAGAGGGGACACATGTTGATGTAGAAGAGACATGAAGAAGAGGGGACACATGTTGATGAAGAGGGGACACATGTTGATGTAGAAGAGACATGAAGAAGAGGGGACACATGTTGATGTAGAAGAGACATGAAGAAGAGGGGACACATGTTGATGTAGAAGAGACATGAAGAAGAGGGGACACATGTTGATGTAGAAGAGACATGAAGAAGAGGGGACACATGTTGATGTAGAAGAGACACGAAGAAGAGGGGACACATGTTGATGTAGAAGAGACATGAAGAAGAGGGGACACATGTTGATGTAGAAGAGACATGAAGAAGAGGGGACACATGTTGATGTAGAAGAGACATGAAGAAGAGGGGACACATGTTGATGTAGAAGAGACATGAAGAAGAGGGGACACATGTTGATGTAGAAGAGACATGAAGAAGAGGGGACACATGTTGATGTAGAAGAGACATGAAGAAGAGGGGACACATGTTGATGTAGAAGAGACATGAAGAAGAGGGGACACGTGTTGATGTAGAAGAGACATGAAGAAGAGGGGACACATGTTGATGTGGAAGAGACATGAAGAAGAGGGGACACATGTTGATGTAGAAGAGACATGAAGAAGAGGGGACACATGTTGATGTAGAAGAGACATGAAGAAGAGGGGACACATGTTGATGTAGAAGAGACATGAAGAAGAGGGGACACATGTTGATGTAGAAGAGACATGAAGAAGAGGGGACACATGTTGATGTAGAAGAGACATGAAGAAGAGGGGACACGTGTTGATGTAGAAGAGACATGAAGAAGAGGGGACACATGTTGATGTAGAAGAGACATGAAGAAGAGGGGACACGTGTTGATGTAGAAGAGACATGAAGAAGAGGGGACACGTGTTGATGTAGAAGAGACATGAAGAAGAGGGGACACGTGTTGATGTGGAAGAGACATGAAGAAGAGGGGACACATGTTGATGTAGAAGAGACATGAAGAAGAGGGGACACATGTTGATGTAGAAGAGACATGAAGAAGAGGGGACACATGTTGATGTAGAAGAGACATGAAGAAGAGGGGACACATGTTGATGTAGAAGAGACATGAAGAAGAGGGGACACATGTTGATGTAGAAGAGACATGAAGAAGAGGGGACACGTGTTGATGTAGAAGAGACATGAAGAAGAGGGGACACATGTTGATGTAGAAGAGACATGAAGAAGAGGGGACACGTGTTGATGTAGAAGAGACATGAAGAAGAGGGGACACGTGTTGATGTAGAAGAGACATGAAGAAGAGGGGACACGTGTTGATGTAGAAAAGACATGGAAAAGTGGATTTTGCATAATAGGTGACCTTTAATAAACATTCATGCTAGTTAACTTGAGTATTTTCAATTCATTCTACTTTATTTCACAGGGAAATGTTGTACTTTTCCTGTCCAGTTTATGTGTTGATACAATCCTCCTACTTATTCATCTAAATAAAGTCTTTAAAAACCCTCTTGGATCAGCAGGAAAATGCATCATCACAAAGCTGAAACAGGGCTGTGTTTCTTAGGAAAGTGAGGAAAGGCTATGAGTTGTCTTAGGACGAAGCTACAAACAAATGATACTTTTATATTTTGAATATGAATAAGAGTATAATGCGTTGTGTAGATTAAACTACCCATCATCATATGAAGGAGTTGACATTAGCACCACCAAAAGCAGTAATACTAATCCAGAAACAAATTAAATAATAGTAAAACACTTACAGGCTAAATATTAATACTGTGATACTTAAATACTTATTTTACTTGTAGTCGTGTTGTTTCAGGGCTGGGTAATAAATCAATATTGTGATAGTTGACAAGTGTTTTCTGATTTAATATCACATTTGTATGTGTCTTTCTGAGTCCTTATCTCCAGATTAGTTATCAGAATTACAGTATGTAAATATGTTATGGAAGCACCAATAGTGCGCCCTACGATAACCTGGTAATATGGAGGTGTTTGATAATGTCAAAGACTTTGAAATATGATATCACAAGCTGGCTATCAGTATTTATTGTGACACTTTGAATGCGTCTTCTTCGTACCTGTTCAGACCCTTCCGCCCCGTTCAGAGACTTGTTCCTGTAACAAACAGATTTCATTAGAAGTCTTCAGACGGACGCCGAGAGGAAGAGTGAGGAAGACCATGAGGAGTTTGTGGAGGACTCACATGTAACCTTCAAAGCTCTCCTTGTCTGAATCCTGCTCGTGTTTCTGACTCCTCTTGAACCTGAGAGAGGAAACACGTCGTCATTTTGAAATGTGACGGACACTAGGGCTGCTCAATTAATCATATTTTAATCGCGATTATGGCTTGCAACGATTACGAAAACAACGTAATCGAAATAAAACGATTATTTTTGTATTATTATTATTTTTTTTTTTGGTTTTTCAGTTCAATTATACTTAAAGTTCAGGGTAATCAACTGTTAAAAACATACTGTTCACATTTTCTTTCTCCAATAAATGAATAATCGCATTTAAATAATCGCAATTACAATTATTGACCCAAATAATCGAGATTATGATTGTTGCCATAATCGAGCAGCCCTAACGGACACTTCTACCTTCATTCATCCTGAGTCCTGGGAGGATTCACGCATTGAGACGCTGATATTTAAACATTAAACATGCCTGAGTTATTATCAGGGTTCACACACTTTTTCACCAATGATTTTCAATGACTTTTCCATGACCTTTACCTAATTTTCCATGACCCAAAAAATTACTTTTATTTGGCTAGCAAGCGCTGCCTCGCCCATTTTCGAAATATTGAATATTTTACTACACAGTTTGCATTTAGCACGTCTTGGGTCAATGTCTTTTGAGAGCCACTTTGCTACTTATCTTTTAGAAGCCATACATTGTTGAAACTGCACTTCCCTGGCGTCTTGGCAGCCTTATATCAAATAGTAGCTCCGACAGGCTAAAGCCACTTTAGAGATCTCTCACCAGCTAAATACTGCGACAGCTGCCATTTTACATTTCATTACTATACGATACAGTATTGATTATCATTATAGTATTACTATCTCGCCGATTAGATAAAATATAAATTATATTTTGATGCAACTTTAATTATATTTCCATGACTTTTCCAAAACTTTGGGAAACATATTGTTTTCCAGGGCCTGGAATTTGCATTTGGAATTTCCATGACTTTTCCAGGTTTGTAATGACCGTACGAACCCTGTACTGTATATGTTAAGCTTTAGGAAAAGGGTTGATGACATACAAATAAGAAGGATTTAGGGAACAAGTGTTGATTTTAAATAAGCATCGTTAATCACTGAAAGGGGATCTCTTATTGTTTTGTAAGTCCTTTTTTTGCGAACAGTAAAACATGTGTTGAGATGAAGAGGTTTTGTCTGGGATGAAGGGACAAACCCTGGGGCATTAAAGTCTAACAGTGTGAACATAAAGAGCTCCTAGAGGAAAGCAGGAAGGGGTTTTTAACGCATGTATGAAAAATGGATGCAGAACTTTGACATCATGCGATAAATAAAATAAATGTAAGTTTATTGAGAATATTTTCAACAATCTAATAATTTACCGCAGACAGAAATTCGTCAGAATTCTGAGATCGACCCCATCTAACGTAAACAAATGACTCATATTAAACCTGCATTGTGTCATTTCTCTCTCCACGGGGTACAGATGATACCGACATGCTTTAATGACGACCTCTCTTCTCTCACCTGATGATCAAGGCCACAGCAACGATCAATCCCAGCATGCTCAGCGCCAGCAGGACGCCCAGAGCGATGATTGCCGGCTGGCTGGAGGCGGGACCTTCAGGTTCTATCTCCACCTCGAAGCGCAGACCGTCCCCGAACACTTTGACCAGCTCCGCCCTCACAGCCGCCGCCTCGCTCTGCAGCTTCCTGCAGGGGGGGGGGGGTGTTAGAGGTAGCACACATATCTTCTAACTCAGCGCTTCTCAAAGTTCTTTCAGTAATGTACCCCCTTTGAAACATTTTCTCAGCCTAGTACCCCCTGACCGACCCCTAACATTTTTTAATAGAAAAAGCCTATAAATAATTACAATATAGTGATGTTCCATCAGTGTGTGAGTTATTAACTCCTTCATCATGAATTACAACAAACTAAGGATATTTTCATCTTTATGCATGATAACGAAAACTATTTAAAACATATTTTTCCAAGGGGTTTTTCAATTGAAGTAATAGGATGTTTAACAAACCAACGAACAAAATGATATATTATGGGAAACTATACTATAAATACACAAATTTGACATTTACGTTTATATGAGGCAGAGTCTGATTTTCAACACCCGCTCCCGCGACGTGCAATACCGAACCCGCCCCCTGCACATATTGCCAATTAGTTCCGCAACCCGACCCGTCGGCACAAGATCTGCAACCCGACCCGAACATATATGAGCAGTGAAAACGTGCAATTATTAACATGCAGTTGCATATTTGTCTCAAAAAGCGTGGGATGTTGGTCATTTCCTCCATCTAGGATGACACCAAAAGCCTCCCAGACGTTGGGTTTCGCTCTTGAGGAAGTGTTATTGAAAATGCTGTATTCTCCTCTCGAGAGCTTCACCTCAGCCATTTCGAATGTGGCGCGCTCAGCAGCAGATTGATGCGCTGCAGAGGTTATGATTATGCGCGGTCCCGCGGGGGAGAGGTCTGAGGATTTAAACATTAAACTAAATTATTATTATTTTAATATATTTATTACGCAACACCCGCGACCCGAAGTGGGGGTGGGGGGGGTGTTAGAGGTAGCACACACTATATATATAGTGATGTTCCATCAGTGTGTGATTTATTAACTCCTTCATGCATGAATTACAACAAACTAAGGATATTTTCATCTTTATGGATGAAAAAAAAGAACATAACGCCTTTTTTAATTGAAATTATATATGTTTAACAAACCAACGAACAAAATGATATATTATGGAAAACTATCAAGTACAATACACACATTCGACATGTTTAAATGAGGACCCCCTTGGTGGTTCTACGAATATTTAATATAAAATTGTGTTTTCTATTATTTTTATAATCATGCATGGTGTTTTTTTAATTAACCTTTTTTTTTAATCTCACGTACCCCCTGCAGTACCCCAACGTACCCCCATTTGGGAAGTTTTGTCCGAACCCCAAAATGATTACCAAAACATAACATTTAAAAATAAATAAAAGCAGGACATGTTTAATTAAAAAAGCTGGAACCGTGACTTTTTTTTAAAAACATTTTTTCCTAAAAATGACTACAAGATTATCCAAATAGGCCATTTCTCTCTACATCTACTAATCCTTTCAGCTGATTAACTGTTCTTATCTCATTTATGACAGAGTATCATATTTTACCAGCTCATCATATGTCAAAATCTGATTGTATACTGTAACTACTGTATGTGTCAAATAAATGCAATAAAGTAGAATATTTTTCTTTTACGTAGAACGGCATTAAAGAAAAGGAACTCGAATGTGTACTTTAGTAAATGTTATCTGTAATGTTCCACACCTGTAAGCTACGGTATGATATCTTCAATCTGATTCAGGCTGCTTTGTAATAACTTGTAAGTAAAACTCTGCATGTTAAGGTCAATATCACACATCAAACAGCAGCTCTTACTGTGTGACGTCCTCCGAGGGAACCACCTTCCCTCCGTCCTCAGAGATTAAGCTGATCAGAGTCCTGACGGAGGCTCTGGCTCTGGACGATCCTCCGTTGGAGCTCCACACCTCCAGGATGTTCACGGTGAAGCCCAGAGCTGCACCCAGAGACCTGCAGGAGACACATGTCAATAACATGGAGAAAACATATCACTGGTCCCCGGCTTGAGCTTCAACATCAGGATCCATGTATTTCTGATCCTCTCCAGAATGGAAGTAGTCTTCATAGACATCAATTAGTTCCTGAACAGTGTCCTTCACATGCTGATATCCAAGAGAGGGAGTTACTCAGTCACAAGATGGAGGAATACCGGTTCTTCTAGGTAATCATACATCCTGTCATGTTCAATACTGAGTTTTTTCTGAAAATGTTGGCTTTTTTCTGAAAATGTCAACATTCTGACTTTTTCTCAAAATTCTGACTTTTTCTCTAAATCTCAAAATTCTGACTTTCTCAAAATCCTCACAGTCACAAGATGGAGGAATAGGAAGCAGTATTCAATGTTTAGTTCAGATTAGCTCCACGTCAGAAATGAGCATGCTTGTCATATGTCTATCTCCATAGAGGCTGAATCATCATGTTAATCACATAACTATCACAGTCCTGATGCTCTTCTAGGTAATCACACATCCTGTCATGTTCACAGCTGCAGTTGGGATACCTTTGTTATCATGTTACTCTCAGATTGGAAGAGGACATTCAGTATTTTCCCAACACATCTCAACATGATCTCCACCCTGAGAGAAACTCCACTCACTTCTCCAGCTCTGGGACCTTCTTCTCCACGGTGTTGGCCGGCTGGTTGATGGAGATCACGACGATGTCTCCGCTGCTCGCACCGCCACGCACCTCCACCTGGGGGCAGCAGAGAGGGGTTTTAACTTACATTACATCTAATCAGTTAGATACGGATTAGAACAGGAAGAAGACCTACAACTGTTTTTAGCTGTATCATTTATTCTTTGTTCACCTGCCTGGAATAATGTCTGTGGTTAATTTAAGATGAAGAGATTTTAAAGGTTTGTTCGAAGTAAAACTCAGGTGTTTCCATACAGAAGAAATCTTTATTTATAAATATTAGTGATTGTCTAACGCAGGGGTGGCCAACCAGTCAGAGGTTAAGAGCCAATTTTTTTCTGTTTTACTGCAAAGAGCCACATCAAACACACAGTCACTGATACCGCTTGTTTCAGTTTTTTCTTTTCTGGAGACAAGATTTCAACCACGTCACTGATGCATTTTTGTGGCATTGGGATATATATTTTTTAAATCCTCTGGAGCAGAGAGAGGAGCTGTGGATTATTGTTATTGATTAATGCATCAGTGTTTCTTAGGGTCAAAAACACTAAACTCACAACTTAAAATGAAAGCGTTTAGTTTATTTAATAAAAGAGCACATGTTCAATGTGAAAAGTGACAGTAGTTATAGATTATTTGCAATTTGGTGCTATGTATATATATTAAAAAATAATAATTATATATATTTTTGAAACACCTTGAATTCCAGGGGGGGCGCGGGGCTCCGTTGGCGGGGCGCAGCGCCCCTCCAAAACAATGGTAGGGGAAACACTGGATAGTGTTTAATCAACTATAGGTTTCCCCCCCTCAAAGGTGATTGGTTCACAGCATCACAGGTATTATTGTGATTGGCTCTTGGGCCACATCAAAATTAGACACGCTGTCATCCTCTCATACTGACTCCTGACACCACACATACACACGTAGGGAGAGCCGGGACGAAAGTAACACGGGACGAAACGAAAGTAACGGAGCGATTTTATCCGAGCCCAAACAACTTTGACCGGCCAAATGACGTCAGAATTATCAGCATTCAATACTTAACAGACCTACTAAATATCAGGTTTAACTGTCAGGAGTAGCTAGCTAGTGTTGTCACGATACCAACATTTTGTTTTCGATACCAAGTCAAGAATTGCGATTCCGATTATTTTTCGATACTTTTCTTAAAAAAAGGGAAACAGTCTTAAATGTAATTATCGTGCTTTATTTCACACCAGAACCATAACCATAACACAAACTTTTAAACAATGAGAACAATAAATAAAATAAATGACAATAATTCGTATTAAATAAAATTAATACATTTCTTACAGACGGGCCTCGTGGTGTCCGTAGGCTTGTCCTCACTGTCAGAGATATAGCTAAAATACTTCCAAATGTCGCTTCTGGCGTCTTTTTTGTCAACAAGCCGAGGCGCAGCGGCAGTTGCACTCCCACTTGCAGCCATGCTTCTCGTTTTCTCACATGCTCTGGCAGCTAGCGCGTGCATGAGAGAGGGGAGGGACTTAGAGCGTGCTTGAGAGGGGAGGGACTGCAGGCACAGCTGCAGTGCAGGGAATGGAAGCAGAGCGCTGATCATACACGGCTCTTATTAAACGGCGCTTTCTCACCGGAGTACTTTCCCCCGTCATTCTTAAAGTACCGATACTAATGAAACGGAGGAATAGTAACGTTTTTATCGGCAGGGAATCGCGGTACCTTTCAAGTATCGGTACACCGTACAACACTAGTCAGGAGTCAGTGTCTCTCCCCCAAACTCACACATATACAATTCGATATGAACTGAAGAGCCGCATGAAACTAGGCAAAGAGCCGCATGCGGCTCGAGAGCCGCGGGTTGGCCACCCCTGGTCTAACGGGACATCATTTGTATGGAAACAGCTTTCATCATTCCTTCATAAAGTCTTAGATTATCATCACGCCTGTTTGGAATTGTCTTTATTTTTGTTCAGATATACTTTACATGTATTTTTCACAACAGTTAATCATATTCGTTTAGTATGTGTCTTTCCACATTTGTATACAACCTTTTTAAAAGTTATTATAGTTATATAACATTTCATACTTTCAGGAAGTTTTTGTTTTAATTGTTTTAATTTGAACAAACGTTTCTGTTTTTATATAATATGTACATTTCTACTTTAATCTGCACTCTACCTCTGTTCCTACATGTTCTAATAAATAAATATTAGCTTTTGTATTTCAATTCTTCTTACTGAGTTTATGAATGCACCATTTTACACAACAGCAAATTCATTGTATCTGAAAATCCTAGAATAAACTACATTTCTGATTTGCATTTGAGTTCCTTTCTAATGATTCAGGTTCAGGTGATTTATGTGTACCTGTAGGTAGATTTGGTTTGCAGATCAAAGACAGGGGATGCATTATGACACACGTTATAAAACAACACACACACATATCTAATAAAAGTCCAACCTGCTCCGTCACGTCTAAAAACATTTATAAGCACTACTAACCGCTGCTTTTAATTGATATATTCATATCTCACACAGCACTGTAACTTTTATTAATGTACTATACGCCTCAGTGTATTTATTTGTATTTATACATTTTACATCTACCTTTACTTGTATATCTGTATAGTGCATTTATTTTGACTGCTGATAGATGTGTATATAACTGACTGTTTGCACTCTGGTTACACCCTCTTAAATTTCGTTACACTCACTGCTTGCATTATGTAATAATAATAACAATAATAACAATAAAGTAATCTAATCTAATGTGTGCGATGGCTGCTGTGATAAAGCTGTATTCTGTTATATCACATCACCTCCACCCTGGTTGTGGCGCTGAGCCCTCGCGGGTCGGAGGCCTTCAGCTCCACGGTGTTCAGTCCGGAGAGACTCTGAGCTGAGACGACGAACAGCAGGCCGGAGGACGGGTCCACGGCGAAGAACTGAGAGTCCTCTGTCAGACTGTAGACCAGCTGAGCCCCCTCCCCCAAATCAGGGTCCGCCGCCTGGGGAGACAGCACACACTTCATCAGAAGAGACTCCACTACCCTGAATACCAATTCATTATCTCTTCAATCCGCGGTGTTTCATTCCACTTTCAGTATTTCATTTATCATTCAGTTGTGAATGAATGTAAAACCTGTACCGCAGTTTTTGCATTAATTCTCAATTGAATGATAAATAAAATACTGAAAGTGGAATAAAACACCGCGGATTGAAGAGATAATAAATGAATATTTAGACATAATGTAAAAACTGTACCGCTGCTCACTACACTTTCATAACCCGTCCATCTTTGTTTCTTGTAGTTTGTTCTTTAATCTGCTCTCTTTACTGCACTGTTAGTGTACAGTTGTATTATTATGATTCCTATTATTATGATGTTTATTGTATCTTATTTAACTCTGGCACAAGAATTTCTTTCGGGATGAATAAAGTCTTATCTTATTTGATATATGTGACATATTTCAACATTTTAAATTGCACTATTTTTGTAATGTATCTATTTCTTCTTGAACTTGTTAAGGTATTTTTAAGTCTTAATTATACTGAATAGTATGTAGCACTGTTGTGGGAGACAGAGACTCTAGATTTGAATTACTGTAGTTTTATATAAGCTTATTCTGAGTAAAATGATGAAGTGATGAAACGGACAGGTTTAAAACAACTTCAACAGGACCAAAGTGTTTTCTACTTTATGACCTTTTTTATGGCATACTATTCTATGTGACTGTTTATGTCCTAAGGTCAACAAGTGGCTGGAAAAAGTAGAGAATCAGGACCAATATATGGTATTAAAAAGTGAATTTACAATATCAAATAGATGGAAATGTGGTTGGAAAAAACATTTCTTAAGTTAAGTAAATATCATGTAACCATATTACTGAAGAACCAGCACCTTACCGTGGTAGAGAGGTTTGTGTGCCCTGATGAACCTGGGGGCTGTGTTGTCTGGAACCTTGTGTTCCTGGTAGGGTCTCCCATGGCAAATTGGTCTCAGGCAAGGGGCCAGACTAAGATTGGTTCAAAATACCTCATGAAAGAAAAACTAAGAAGTGAGGATACCCAGCCCGGAGGAAGCCCGGGGTCCCCTTCTGGAGCCAGGCCCAGAAGGAGGACTCGTCGGCGAGCGTCTGGTGGCCGGGCTTGCCACGGAGCCCGGCCGGGCCCAGCCCGAAAAGGCAACGTGGGCAACACCTCCGCTTCTCCGTCCCACGGGCCCACCACCTACGGGAAACATCGATGGGGTCGGGTGCGCTGCCAGAAGGGTGGCAGTGAAAGCGGAGGGTCTCGACGGACCAGACCCGGGCGACAGAAGCTGGCTTTGGGGACGTGGAACGTCACCTCTCTGGGGGGGAAGGAGCCGGAGCTTGTGCGGGAGGTGGAGCGTTACCAGTTGGATCTGGTTGGGCTCACCTCTACGCACAGCGTCGGCTCTGGAACCTTACTTCTGGATAGGGGTTGGACTCTATTCTTCTCCGGAGTTGCTCAAGGTGTGAGGCGCCGGGCGGGTGTGGGGATACTCACAAGTCCCCGGTTAGGTGCTTCGTTGTTGGAGTTTACCCCAGTGGACGAGAGGGTCGCCTCCCTACACCTGCGGGTTATGGGGGGGAAAACTCTGACTGTTGTGTGTGCTTATGCACCCAACAGCAGTTCAGAGTATACGGCCTTCTTGGAGACCCTGGAAAGAGTCCTGTATGGGGCTCCTGAAGGGGACTCTTTAATCTTGCTGGGAGACTTCAACGCACATGTGGGCAATGATGGAGACACTTGGAGGGGCGTGATTGGGAGGAACGGCCCCCCTGATCTGAACCGGAGTGGTGGTTTGTTACTGGACTTCTGTGCTAGTCATGGATTGGCCATAACAAACACCATGTTCGAACATAAGGATGCTCATAAGTGTACGTGGTACCAGAGCACCCTAGGCAGAAGGTCCATGATCGATTTCGTTATCGTATCATCGGACCTGAGGCCGTATGTTTTGGACACTCGGGTAAAGAGAGGGGCGGAGTTGTCAACTGATCACCATCTGGTGGTGAGTTGGGTCGAGTGGCGGGGGAAGCCTCTGGATAGACCTGGTAAGCCCAAACGTGTAGTTCGGGTGAACTGGGAACGTCTGGAGGAGGCCCAAGTTCAGGAGGCCTTCAACTCACACCTCCGGCGGAGCTTTTCGGGCATTCCTGTGGAGGTTGGGGACATTGAACCAGAGTGGTCGGTGTTCAAAGCCTCTATTGCCGAAGCCGCGGCGGGGAGCTGTGGTCTCAAGGTCCTAGGTGCCTCAAGGGGCGGTAACCCTCGAATCTCCTGGTGGACACCGGGGGTCAGGGAAGCCGTCCGACTGAAGAAGGAGGCCTTCAGGGATTTGTTATCCCGGGGGACTCCCGAGGCAGTTGCAAGGTACCGACAGGCCCGAAGGGCAGCAGCCTCATCCGTGGCCGAGGCAAAGCAGCGGGTGTGGGAGAAGTTCGGAGAAGACATGGAGAAGGACTTTCGGGCGGCACCAAAGTTGTTCTGGAAAACTGTCCGACACCTCAGGAGGGGGAAGCAGGGAACCATCCAAGCTGTGTACAGTAAGGATGGGACGTTGTTGACCTCAACTGATGGGGTGTTAGGGCGTTGGAAGGAACACTTTGAGGAACTCCTGAACCCGACAACTCCGCCCTCTATGTTAGAGGCAGAGCTGGAGTATGACGGGGGATCAACACCAATCTCCCGGGGGGAGGTCACTGATGTCGTCAAACAACTCCACAGTGGCAAAGCCCCGGGGGTGGATGAGATCCGCCCGGAAATGCTGAAGGCTCTGGGTGTTGAGGGACTGTCATGGTTGACACGTCTCATCAACGTTGCGTGGAAGTCGGAAACAGTACCGAAGGAGTGGCAGACCGGGGTGGTGGTCCCCCTTTTTAAAAAAGGGGATCAGAGGGTGTGTGCCAATTACAGAGGCATCACACTACTCAGCCTCCCCGGGAAAGTTTACTCTAAGGTACTCGAAAGGAGGGTCAGGCCGATTGTCGAACCTCAGATTGAGGAGGAACAATGCGGATTCCGTCCTGGTCGTGGAACGACGGATCAGCTTTTTACTCTCGCAAGGATCCTGGAGGGGGCCTGGGAATACGCTTATCCGGTCTACATGTGTTTTGTAGACTTGGAGAAGGCGTATGACCGAGTTCCCAGGGAGTTACTGTGGGAGGTGCTGCGGGAGTATAGGGTGAGGGGGTCTCTACTCAGGGCCATCCAATCTCTGTACTCCCAAAGCGAGAGCTGTGTCCGGGTCCTCGGCAGTAAGTCGGACCCATTTCCGGTGAGGGTTGGCCTCCGCCAGGGCTGCGCTTTGTCACCAATCCTGTTTGTAATATACATGGATCGGATTTCGAGGCGTAGTCATGGGGGAGGGGGTCTGCAGTTCGGTGGACTAAGGATTGCACCACTGCTTTTTGCAGATGATGTGGTTCTAATGGCTTCATCGGTCTGCGACCTTCAGCACTCACTGGATCGGTTCGCAACCGAGTGTGAAGCGGCTGGGATGAGGATCAGCACCTCCAAATCTGAGGCCATGGTTCTCAGCAGGAAACCGATGGACTGTCCACTTCAAGTAGGGAATGAGTCCTTACCCCAAGTGAAGGAGTTCAAGTATCTCGGGGTCTTGTTCTCGAGTGAGGGAACAATGGAGCGTGAGATGGGCCGGAGAATCGGAGCAGCGGGAGCGGTACTGCAGTCGCTTTACCGCACCGTTGTGACGAAAAGGGAGCTGAGCCAGAAGGCAAAGCTCTCTGTCTACCGGGCCATTTTCGTTCCTACCCTCACCTATGGTCATGAAGGATGGGTCATGACCGAAAGAACGAGATCGCGGATACAAGCGGCCGAGATGGGTTTTCTCCGCAGGGTGGCTGGTGTCTCCCTTAGGGATAAGGTGAGAAGTTCGGTCATCAGGGAGGGACTCGGAGTTGAGCCGCTCCTCCTTCGCGTCGAAAGGAGCCAGTTGAGGTGGTTCGGGCACCTAGTTAGGATGCCACCTGGGCGCCTCCCTAGGGAGGTGTTCCAGGCACGTCCAGCTGGGAAGAGACCAAGGGGTAGACCTAGGACCAGGTGGAGGGATTATATCTCTTCGCTGGCCTGGGAGCGCCTTGGGATCCCCCAGTCAGAGCTGGTTGATGTCGCCAGGGAAAGGAAAGTTTGGGGCTCTCTGCTGGAACTGCTACCCCCGCGACCCGACCACGGATAAGCGGAAGAAGATGGATGGATGGATGGATATTATTTAATGAAATATGAAACAGATGATGTTTTGAGGAGATGTCATATATACAGTAGGCCTATACTGTATATATACGTTGTAGTAGTACTACTTATAGTAAACACAACAGCCTGATTGTGTGTTAATGACTGCACTTCGTTTTCTGTAATCTCGAAGGATAACAACACGTTTAAGGTAAAGGACGTGTTGAGAAGTGAACAGGACGGGAAATGCAACAATGTGTATCGGCACAATAAAACAAAAATAATAAAAACATCGTCTTTGCTTATCAACCTCTCTGAGTTTACAGCCTGCCGTGTTTCGGTTCAAAGGTCATCACCGAGGAGAAACACGAAGCCTCTTATCTGGCTCTCTGACGGTTTATTACAGCGAGAGCTTCCTCCTGAAGAACCTGTTTTCCTAACAGCAGCTGGGTGTGTTTACCTTGACGTAGACGACGGGGGTTTTATACGGGGCGATGCTGAACACAGAGGCTTTATAAACCTCAGAGGAGAACTGTGGAGCCTCGTTCACATCCTCCACCTCCACTCTGACCTGGAAGAGAGCACAACTTGTCAAAATACTGAAGATACTGACAAGAAATTAAAAAAGTTCAAAGATTTCTTGTTCTTTTAGAAGCCGTTGACAAACACCGGAGATCTTCACAGATATTTATTTATACAGTTATCACTTTAAGTACATTTTCCTGTTTTTTCCTACATACTTTTATTAAAGTTAGGGTAGGTAAGAAGAATGGAGAAACCAGCTAGAGTGCGCTAGAATTTGAAATTACGCAGCCGAAAACAATGCCCCTTCCTTCAGACTTCCTTACAGAGCCCCTCCTCCAACACACACGAACGCGCACATGACCAATGAGGACACGAGATAAGTTTGTGCCCCGATGGAAGGCTGACAGGCAGGTAGGCCATCCAGTTACTTTAGCCGGGCCGGCTCAGATGATTGGTCGTGCTTTTTACAGTGCTACGGCTTCCACAGATGACGTTTTTTAAGGTATTTATTGTCAAAGCATTTAATGTATTCATTGCTATCGGGATGTTAAGAGCATTCCATGGGATATAACAAAAAGTGTTTCTGAAGTGAATTACCTACCCCACCTTTAAGTAGGACTTTTACTGACTGAGTATTTCACTTTTTCTTAAGTAAATTACTACTTTTACCACTTGGATACTCGTTAGAATAGGTTAGTCAACTCTGTGAACACGTTTCAACTTTGAGGTTTCATCCACCTTTATACAAATATATTTCTGTATAAAATAAATATTTGTATGACTTTGCATCACATTTTGATTCATGCAATTAAAAGTAGTACATGCGTGGGTAGAGTAAGCAATCACAAAAGGGATTATTTTCTCAGATAATCGGTTGATTATGTACTTTGTGTCAGCGGTTAAATGGCGACATTTCCTTCAGAATTACCCAGAGCCCAAAGTGACACCTTCAGCTGTTGGTTTCGTCCAAAACTCAACATTAACCCTCAATTATTACAATTGAAAAGCCCAATGTCTTCATATTTGTGAAGCTGGAATCAGGTTTTTACAAATACGATTAATTTCCCATCAATTCCCTAATTACTTGATGGACAAACTGTTACTGCTGTACTCATTCATTTATAACAAAATCATGTTTCATAAACTCATCAAATGCAAAAACTAATGTCTAATTATTATAATAAAAAGTTAAAATAATGTCATTTGAGAATTTGTGAAGTAGAAGAGTGGTGGCATCACATTAAATAGTACCTAAAATGTGAAAAGAAAGCACTTAAGAGTTTCACTTATGCACCAACACTTAGCAATGGTCTGGCTTGTTTGAAGTAAATATGTCAGCGCTGATTAGTTTGTATCCTTATGGTTTATTGCACTTTTATTGTAAGTGGCTATAGATAAAAGCGCCAGCTAAATGTAATGTAATGTGTACTTTAACACTGTACGTGAGTAAATGTACTTGGTTACATTTCTCAACTGCAAAGGAGTATAGCGTATAAGAGTTCATATGAACTGTAGGCCTATATATAAAATGTACTGCAGGTTATGGTTTCCTGAGTGAACCTGAATATTCAGCACAGGTCTAGAGTGCTCAATACGAGTGACAAAACGGACCGTACCATTGCAATGGCAGACGTGGGGGGGGAGCGTGTGTCCACTGCCTCCACGTCCAGGATGTACCAGTCCTGCTCCTCTCGGTCCAGCTGTGTTCGGCTCAGGATGGCTCCGCTGGCGTCCACAGAGAACAGGTCTGTGTGTGTCTTCAGTGAGTAAATCACGTCGTAAATGGGACTTCCTGAGGCGGCGGAGACCCTCCCCACCTCCCCCCCCGCCGGCTGGTTCTCAAGGAGGCTGAAGTTGTAGGAGGACCTGAGGAAGGCCACGCCCTCCGACAGGCTGGCGACCCTCAGGCTCACCACCACATCGGCTGCAAGAACACACAAATACAGAAGTTAGTTAGCGTAACAATCAACTATCGGACAACAAGCTGCTACTTTCTCATGCAAGAAAATACGACAAAAATATTCGTTAAAATCCCAAAACACGAGCGGCTTGATTAGAATCAAACAGATTTTAGGCGAATCAATAAATCATTTTTAATTCAAATGTATGACTGTCTTTGCTTTATTGTCAATAAAAGAAAAATTCTAAATAAAGTACTAAAAAAAGTACGACTTCTTTAGTAGCTGCATAATCAGTCATTCCTGTTAAATGAAACCTTTGTCCTGCTTATCATGTTTGTTATTAAAAACCTGACAGCTGTACATTGTTCATTACAGTCTAATACAGGGGTGTCAAACTCAATGTCATCGAGGGCCACAGTCGCATTATGGTTGCACTCAAAGGGCCGGTTGTAACTTTAAGACTATATAATATATACATATATACATATATATAAAATAATGTATTATATTACATGATTGCCTCTGCATTGGATTATTATCGGATAGAGGGGGTAATAATAACATCATAATTAACTACGTCTGAAAGCAGAAGTCTAGGGCAAATAATTGCAATTCTCTTCAGTGAGAATGTCACAAAATGATTTTAAAAGAAAAGCCGAATTCAGAAAAAAAAGTAAAAATCAAGACAAATAAGTGACATTTTGAGAAAAAAGTAAAATTCTAAGAAAAAAGTCAAATTTGAGATGCATTGTGGGACATGTAGTCTATGGGTAACGTGCTTCTTGTAAAGCGACATGTAACCATTTAATAAACATATGATATTACGGTCCTTGAGTTTGACACCCCTGAACTATTGTTAAAAATATAATACATTCATATTTTATATATTTAAATATATATAAATATTATTGCGACTTCTTAACACTTCCTCCCCCATTTTAAACTTATATTATATATGAAATAATAAATAAACGCCCGACATTGAAGCTCAAACCAGAATTTAAAAGTGAGTCGACTTGAAATAAAAATAAAAGCTACTTCAGTTCTGGAGAGTTGTGGAAAGTGGAGGTTGAGTCACATGATGACGTCACACTGACCGGTGGAGTTCAGCGGGGGTCGGCCCTGGTCTGTCGCCATGGCCTTCAGCACCAGCGTGGTGTCCTCAATCACATCAGCAAGGTCAGAGGTCAGGGTCACGGCCCCAGTCTCACTGTTCAGCGCCAGATATGGAGAACTTCCCTCTGAGAAACTACAACAGAGAACCAAAGAGAGAGATTATACAGACACACTGGTCAAGAGCTTGAGAACAGCTTTGTGGCAATTAACTCATAAATGATCAGTTCTTAGAAACAGGAGTTCAAGCAGAATCATTTTCAGGTCATCTGGGACCCAAAGCATGCTCTGAGCAGAGAATATGAACTGCTACCATCTAATGGAGATCACTAAAGTCAGACTGAAGCGTCCTTTGTGCTCCAGTCCATCCTCTCAGTAAACACAGAGCTACAGATCAGATGCACGCTGAAGGCTCTTTGAGCAGCTTTTCTCTCACTGATCGTGATGTTATGTTAAATGTGTGTTGTTTGTTTTCATGTATTGTGTCTTGATATCTGTCTCTTGATGTTACAGATGGAGCTGCTGTGATGCAAGGAGCATTTCAGATTTGATCTGAACCATTAAAGTGTTATCATATCGTATGTTATAGACGTGAATTGCGCCGAGATGAAAACACTCCATGTTCCACCATCATGAGTTCTTGACATTTCAAAGCAGACCTTGTATTAAAGCAGAGTGAGTCAGCTGATCTGACCTGTATCTGATGAGCGAGTTGTTCCCTTGGTCTCTGTCGGAGGCGGACAGCGTCAGCAGCAGCTTGCCCTCCTCGGCGTCTTTGAGCAGGACGCTGCTGGCGAAGCTGCTGGAGCTGAACTCAGGTCTGTTGTCGTTGACGTCCACGAGGCTCACTCTGATGGTGGTGATGTTCTGGTGCACAGAAGTCAGTAAAGGAGGTTAGGATTGTTATATCTCAATCTTTAAATAGTCTTTGTGTTTGGTATAATCGATTACAATTTAGATGATATCGATATATATATTTATAGTTCCTCTTCTTTGCCAGGTATCAGGTGCCATACTAGACCTGATTAAAACGACAGTTAGCAACTTTGTTCAAAATACATTATATCATATTTTATTTTAAGCTGTCACTATATCCTTACAGAGGTGCATGAGACTGATAGAGTAAATAAATAAAAGTGCTGAATATATGAGATAGTCCTAATGCTCAAATGAAAACAACCAATCAGAACGTGTCCCTTATTGGTTGTTTTCATTCAGATACAAGAGTTTTGCAAATGCCATGAGAAGCACAGGAGGAGGCAGAAGAACATTCATTTCTTCAAAGATTTTTTTTTTCTTGTGCAGTGCTGTCAGAAAACAAATTTGACATTTTCTCTCTCCTTCGTCTCCTACCTCTCTCTGTGGGCTGCCGTTATCTGAGGCCTTCACCACCAGCTCATATGTTTCCTTGCTCTCCCGATCCAGAGGTCCGACAGCCAGCAGCATCCCGTCCTGAAACAACAGAAGAGGGAAGTAATTAAGTACATTTACTCAAGTACTGTACTTCAGTACAATTTTGAGGTACTCCATTTTCTGCTACTTTGTTCTTCTACTCCACTACAGTTCAGAGGTAAATGGTGTACTTTGACTCCAATACATGTATTTAATACTTTAGTTACTTTTCAGATGTGGATGAATGATGTGAAATATAATCAAGTGTTGAATCAGACTTTAGTTCCACCTGGAGTAAATTCACCAGCTACCCTGCAGTATACAAAGTCATTCAAACTAGCTGCTCCTTTACCAGCTTTGAGAACACTTTAATGATCAATCATTATAAAACATATCATATATATTATTCTGAAATGGACCAATCTGCACAACGACTACTTTTACTGTCGCTACTTTCACTATATTTTGATGATAATACTTTTCTACTTTTACTTGAGGAACATTTTGAATGCAGGACTTTTACTGTAACAGAGTATTCCTACACTCCGGTACTTCTACTTTTACTCAAGTACAAGTTCTGAGTACTTCTTCCACCTCTGTGCAACACCACACATGATGTTAGAACCTGAGCGCTGACACAACAATATTTCCCCAATCCTCTCTCTCATGGCCTCACCTCTCTGAATCTGAAGAGTGGGTGAGGGGAGGTGAGGGAGAGGGTGACTTCTCCGTTGGGGCCGAGGTCGGCGTCGGTGGGCACGATCATGCGGATTTCTCCAGGGTTTTTCTCGGAGTAGTCGCCCTCCGGGACCTGCAGGGGGTCGGGGATGATCGGGAACTGCGGGGCGTTGTCGTTGTAGTCGAGGACAGAGATGTTGAGCTGAGCCGTGGAACTGAGCCCGTCAACCAGCTGATCCACTGCCACCACCTGGAAACACACACAGAGAGAACATCATGGTAAATCAAACCAAATCAAAATGTATAGCCCCAAATCACAAGAAATGCCTCAAAGGGCTGAGACAAAAAAGCAAAGACAAAAACTAAATACAAACGTCATAGCATACGAATTAAAAACATTATACACCATTATACATCAACATAAGTATCGCCATGTGATGAAAGCATGCGACTGAAGTGATGGTAATGTTGAACGGAAACTAGGTGATGGTATCTATATAGCGCTTTCACACTCGACCCTTCTACATTTACAAGTCAGCATTCACCCATTCACACAGAGACAAGGGCTGTCATACAAGGGGTCACCTGCTCGGGGAAACCCAAATTCATACACACTCACACACTGTTCTGTAATTGTTTTAATTGTTCTATGTCCTATATATATATATGTTGCACTGTTGGAACCTGTGACCTAAGTTTTTCATTTCCATATCTACACTGTACCTAATGTGCACTTGACAATAAAGCTTTGAATCTGTTGGCCAATTTGGGGTTACGTTTTGCCCATGGACACATTGACAGAAGGGGCTGGGAATTAAACCAGTATATTTTTGATGGTAGATGACCATCTTCCTCCTGAGCCACAGCCCACCTGAAGTCAGCTGAGGGAAAACCCTCTTCCCTGATCTTTTTTATCCATTAAAAATAAAATAAAAACTATAACACACTGTTATCAGATGGTACAGAAATATTTTAGTTATTTAAATGTATTTATTTAAAATGATATATTTATTATTTATTGTAGATATGTTGTTATTTTCCCTGCTCTTATTGTGCAGGCCTGTGAATACACTGCAACAATATTGTGTGAATTGTTAAGATATTATTATGAGAAACCAAATAGGTTAAAGTTACATTCACAAATATTTTCCAAATCTTAGTAATTGTGAAGAAAGGGAGCAAACTGTTAGGATACAATGAGACTGAAAGTCACAACATGTTTTTCCCTTGTGAAATGATTTGCTATATGTTCTACTTCTTATACTGTGTAATGTAGATATTTATTTTGGGAGACTTTCTTTCCATTATCAATGAAATGTTCGTCTTAATTGAAGTTTAGGAAATCAAAATAGCTCCATAGTGTTATAAACTACACTGAACAAAAATATAAACGCAACACTTTTGTTTTTGCTCCCATTTTTCATGAGATGAACTCAAAGATCTAAAACATTTTCTATATACACAAAATAACCATTTCTCTCGTTAGGGTTAGGGTAATGTTGTGAATCGAGTGGCCCATGGTGGTGGTGGGGTTATGGTATGGGCAGGCGTATGTTATGAATGACGAACACAGGCCACTCGATTCACAACATTACCCTAACCCTAACCCTGGTTTTCAGACCCCCCCAGACCCCCCCAATAAAGCAAAACTGCACGTTTCAGAGTGGCCTTTTATTGTGGCCAGCCTAAGGCACACCTGTGCAATAATCATGCTGTCTAATCAGCATCTTGATATGCCACACCTGTGAGGTGGGATGGATTATCTCGGCAAAGGAGAAGTGCTCTATCACAGATCTTTTCAGATTTGTGAACAATATTTGAGAGAAATGGTTATTTTGTGTATATAGAAAATGTTTTAGATCTTTGAGTTCATCTCATGAGAAATGGGAGCAAAAACAAAAGTGTTGCGTTTATATTTTTGTTCAGTGTATTTTTGTTAACACAATCAATACCAAGATATGCAACAAATATGTGTATATGTATCAGACAATGCTTTATTTGTTGTGGTACCATTGAAGAAGTTTTAGAGAACTGGACATACAGTATTTGTTAGGGAATCATTTGCCCTAGTGTCCACCTTCGCCCTCTGATGCTCCAACCTTGAGCAGCCGTTAACTCCCTTAAGGAGGGGCTGCCCTAGCAAGTTGTTGTTGTTACCAGTTTGTGACCGGGCAACTCTCGGTTAGAGATAGTTATTGTTGTGGGACACCTGGAACACATCCTTCTCGGGGTGTAGATGACCTCGAGCCATAAGCGACAACAAATGTGATTCAGTGTCCCTCAGCTGTTTAGTGAAGAATGTTGATTATTACACTCTGAACTAGTTAAAACCTGGAGCTACAGGAGGGGTCTTCAGAATTGATTGTGGCATCTCATCCGTGTGGTCAGACCGTGGCCCGTGACATGTCTTGTGAGTTCTCCGGCCGAAGCTCCAAATAAACCGTCAGTGTTTGCCATCAAAGCTCCAGCTCTCCTCGTGTCTCTCTCTGAGTTCTGACTCCTATTGCTTCAGAAGTTTCCCCCACAGTATTTATATTTGTTTTGATTTTGTACCTGTAAAATGTAGCTGTCCTTTGTCTCTCTGTCCAAAGTGACGTCCTTACTCAGGGAGACCACACCTTGATTGTTGATGTCGAAGGTATCGTTGTTGTAGATGAAGTAACCGTCAGAGAATCCGCCCTGAAGAAGAAGATATGTGTGTTGAATAACTGCGCTGACTTCATAGTCAAAGGTAATCGCAAGCACTGGTTCTTATCTGAAGTAACATGCAGAATAATCTAAAAAAAGACAGGGAGAGTCTTTATAAATGATGTCAGTGTGAAGCAGAAGTGCTGAGGTCCAAACTGTTAAGTGTTTACAGCTTTAAGATAAAGAAACTGCGACTGAAAATACAAATATAACTGGATCTCTTTCACCAAACAGATCAGACGAACTACAAATCCATTATTTGTATTATTTCTATGCTCTCAGATCGAAGGAAGCTGAAAAGAATATGAGACGAATACTTTGGAAACAAATTTGAAAATTAACAAAGAGAGACATTATTTTTCAGATATATTTGAACAATAATTGGATTCAGAGGAGAGGTTAATGCTTCATATTTAAGGCGAGCATGCCATTGTGGAAATAGGAGACAAGACAAGAGCTAAGATTGATGACACCCTGCGAAGTATTGTATTATAGTGCTGTGGATTAATGTTTTTAAAGGCACATTCTTGTTTGTCAGTGTCACAAGGCATACAAAAAATTGTTTTAAAGGGAGTGCCTTGGAATATACACATACAGATAATTGTATTGTTTTCCCAAGATCACCTCAAACTAAACTTGTTTGCAGTGCATGTAGCGCTCTGACGTTAGCATTTTCTCCAACCTTCCCACAGTAGCATACATTTAAAGTTATTTCTTCCTTTTTTACATTACATGCTGTTGTTTAGTTATTATTGCCAAATTCCCTTTAAGAAAAAATGGTAATACAATATCATTATTAGCAGAGGCTTCAGCTTTTTATTTAATTAATTCAAGTGTTGAAGTCAGAAGCTAAGGTAAAACATGACCTGCAACTGTACTCATTGTTAAGAAGTACAGTCTGTCTTTTTCAGTCAGAACACAACTAAACACAAGGAGTATGATCTTATAGAGCTCGCAATGTACCAAATAATAGTTTTGTTATTTGACTCACCTCATCTCTGTCAGTGACCTCCAGGCTCAGGATGGACGAACCCCCAGCCAGGTTCTCAGAGACGGTCCCATCGTATCTTTCCTTACTGAACTCAGGAGGGTTGTTGTTCACATCCTTCACCTTCAGCACCACAGAGCCGTTCCCTACCAGAGAGGGAGTCCCGCCATCGGAGGCCTGAACCACCAGCCTGTACTCCTTCACCCGGCTGTAGTCCAGAGGTTGGAGCAGACGCAGAGTCCCAGAGGAAGAGTCCAACTCAAACACAGGAGTATCTGACGAAGGACTCTGCTGGAAAACACTGTAAGTAACTCTTCCATTTGCTCCTTCATCAGGGTCTGAAGCTGATACGCTTAGCAGGATTGAACCCGCTGACTCTGTCTCCAGGACTTCAGCTTGATACTCAGACTCTGAGAACTTTGGGATGTGATCGTTGATGTCGGTGACTTGAATCAGCAGGGAGGCTGAGGCGGAGCGGACTGGACGACCCTGATCTTCAGCCACCACCAGCAGCTCGTACTCAGCCTTAGTCTCCCTGTCAAGTGAAGCAGCAACACTCACCATGCCAGAAACAGCGTCCACAGAGAACCGCCCCTCTCCTCCTCTCAGGGAGTATCTGATCTCCTTGTTGAAGCTGCTGTCTTTGTCTGTAGCCGGAACAACAGTAACGTTGGACCCTAGCTCCGCGTCCTCTGGGACTGATTTTGTGACAGAACTCGACGTGAAAACAGGACCGTTATCATTGACGTCTGTGACTTGAACTTCCACCACGGCACTGTCGCTGTGGGATCCGTCAGAGATGGAGATCGTCACAGTGTAGTTGTGTGGAGCCTCGTCGTAGTCTAGCTTCACTTTAGTGGAGAATTCACCACTGTTGGAGATGGTGAATTTCTCGGGTTCTGTGACAACCGTGAGAGTCGGAGAATGCTCAGCAGATAGTGCGAGGAAGTTAACCTGAGCACACAAACAGGAAGAACAGGAAAAATTATTTGTCACCTTCTTTAAAGAGGCACTATTATACCTTTGGGGGTTTCCCTTTCCTGTAGTGTGTTATATAGGTTTTTGTGAATGCAAATGGTCTGCAAAGGCTAAAATCCGTGTGTTCCCTCCAGAGAGAATTTCTTGATATTAACAACTTACCGTAAGAATAACAACTCCTGGCTCCTGCTCTTCTTCTACGGTGCCACGGTACAGTTTTTGTAAAAACTGAGGTTTCGAGTCACCAGGAGCACGAATGTTCACCCTAGCTGAGGAGGAGCGGGATATCGTGCCGCCTATAACACAAGTGGGGAAGATTATCAGACTCATAATATTGAGTGTGGCGTAAAAAAAAAAAGTTGGACATAGTTCCCTCTGATTCAACCACAGGATAAAAGCTTTCCAGGTGGTGCTCCGCTATACAGCAACCAGTGAGGTTTAAGCATACTGCCTTCAGAATTGATTTTTATTATATTTCATTTGAGGATCGTTATGTCTATGTGTTTAATATTACATTACATTATATGTTACTTGTTAGACGCTTTTATCCAAAGCGACTTACATACTCAATACTGTGGACAATCTCCACAGGAGCAATTTTAGGAAAACAGTAGGATTAATTATTTGAGCCACACAAATACTAAACAATCGTACTTGTAGCTTCAAAAGTTGTGATTTTGGTCTGATTATCTCTTTAACCCTAACAGGCTAAATCATCACAATCAGAAAGCGTGAAAGTGCTGGATATTCAGAGAGATATTGCTCAGATGTACCATCTCTGGCTGTTATGAAGAGAGGGAACTCCAATAGCACGTTTTCCTCCAGGGGAATGGTTTTAGCCAGCGCGATTATTCCACTGTTTTCATCGATTGAGAAGTAGCCGTCTTCGTTCCCAAATTCAATCGAGTATTTGATCTGCCCGTTCTTGTCGGCATCTAGATCTTCTGCCTTAACCTTTGAGATTAATAATACCAATTAGCCTCTGAGAGTCAACTGGAAATGATAGAGCAACAAATATCAACAGAAAAAAAGCTTCAAGCTTAAAACTATAACAATTTCATAGTTAACAATAATGCGATAACTAACCTAAAAGAAGACTATTAGACTAATCAATTAACTTTGGGGAACATTTAGTAATGACATGACTTAATGAAGGGTTACATTGGTGTTTTATAATCTAAATTATAACATTGCAGTCCAATTTTCAGCTGCTGGTTCTTCGCTTAATACTGGACAAATTAAAACAATTGTTGATAAAAACATGGGAAATTAGGGGCCAGGTTAAAAACTACCGATGTTACACTTTATAACATTAAGTTGTAAAAATGCAGGGTTAGTTATAGAATATTTAGCCGTGAATGGCAGATATAACCATCAAATGTATGGCAAATGGAAAAAGAAAGGGGCCTCAATTTGAACCTTGAGGAACTCCATATTATCTTTCTGGCAAACCACCTTCAAATATGTAATTTTATTTCTTAATTGAAACGTAACTCTTTTTTTTAATGTTATTTTACAATATTTTAATCAGAGTATCATATATAACCCTTAAAGCTTGCCATTTAACAAACGTGAGATTGATATTTGTCAATTATGTCAAAATTAGCCATGAGAACTATCTTTAAATGCATAAAAACAAGACAGTTGCTATTATAAGTTAAGGGGATGGACATGGTAGCTCGTCAAATGCTTAACACTGGAAAACAATATCTGAATGGTAGATGAAAAATTACCTAAAATGTTAACCATATGAATAACTGTGTGATCACTCACCTGGACCAGCGACATTCCCTCTGTTTGATTTGCATACACCTTTCCCTCGTAAGTGTTACTGGTGAACACAGGACTGTTGTCGTTCTCGTCCAGAAGAGTCACACTGACTTGCACCGTTACATTATTGTGGGGGGGATTCGCCTCCCTTGCTTCAATCTGTAAATAACAAAAGAAAAGCAAAGTAAAGCACAGAATGTAAACAGATGCAGCCCTGTCTGTTTTCCATACTGAAGGGGAATAATTTGCCCTGCATGTCCTCCTTCGCCCTCTGACGCAGATGTCCAGCCTTGGACAGCCGTTATCTTCCATAAGGAGGGGCTGCCCAAGCATTTTGTTGTTGTTGCAGTTTGTGACCAGGCAACTCTCTGTCAGAGATAGCTATTGTTGTGGGACACCTGGAACACATCCGTCTCGGGGTGTAGATGACCCCGGGCCATAACCGACAACTAAAGTTGATTCAGTTTCCTCAGCTGTTTAGTCTATCTAATGAAGAATATTGATTACCCAAAGCAAACTAGTTAAAACCTCATATGAGAGGAAGGGTTCTTCAGAATTGTTTGTGGCATCTCAACCGTGTGGTCAACTCGTGGCCCGTGACATGTCTTGTGAATTCTCCGGCCGAAGCTCCAAATAAACCGTCAGTGTTTGCCATCAAAGCTCCAGCTCTCCTCGTGTATCTCTGAGTCCTGTTTCCAATTGCTTCAGAAGTTTCCCCCACACCACGTACTACTGTAGCTAGTGGCATTTTGTGGCAGCCAATCACAAATCAACACTGTTTGTTTCCCACCATTTTTAAATAGTTCTAAAAGAGCAAGTATTGTGATATTTAAGGGTTTAGTTTTAGACTAAAACGATCAATAAATGTATCAACTAAGAAAACAATAATGGTTAAACTGCTATTAGAAGGACATCAATGAGCCTCAGAGTCTCTTTTATTATACCTTCACATTATCTTTTTTGGCATTTGGATTGTCTATGTTGTACTCTATTATCTTTTTATTCATGTGTACTTAAAACATCTATTACGTCCTGGCAGAGCGATCCCTCCTCTGTTGCTCTCTTGGGTTTCTTTCATTTTTTAAATTAAATGTGATATTGATTCATTTTTGCTCTGGGTGACATTGAACCATGTACACAACATTCATTTTGACTCAATCTCACATACCCTTCCTGCTGCCGCAAATACTCACTAGAGCACCAATTGAATATTAATCTGCCAGTCATTTAATTTTTAATAAAAAACAACGTATTTTGTATCAAAACTGGTATTTAAATGGTTAGAACATCAACAAATCTCTAATATTTCTGAATATATGAATAAAGTAAGTCTTTGATGGGAACCCGATAGTTTGGAGCTAATGGTAAATTCCTCCAAATATGGATTACCTGAAATGTGAATCTTTCAGTGGTCTCTCGGTCCAGAACTGTGGAGTTCTTCACTCTGACCGTCCCATCAGCACCGACAGAGAAAGGAGCAGAATCTGGAACGATCCGCAAAGTTCCCACAAATCCTCCCTGTGGAAAGAGCATCATGGAATAAATTACTTAATGAGGAATTATTGAGAATTTCACAAAGATATATAACATTTTTAAAAATCCACCTCGTCCAGGTCGGTGACGACGGGTTTGAACAGAACAGCATCCACAGGAGAGTTTTCCAGAAGAGTTACGGAGTAGTTGGGCTTGTCAAACTCTGGAAGATTATCATTCACATCCTCGACACTGACGGTCACCAAAGCGGCAGCCGTCTTCAAAATGTTGTCTGTCTGGGCCGCCTGCAGAAAGACAATATTACAGATAAACATTAATTAGGAAGTTTTGAATTCTGTATTCTGTACATGAACTGTGATCTGTTGAAATCCAGATGAAAGCCATGTGTTGAATTGCTGTGACTGCATTCTTTTACACGTGTGTCTGATTTGGCATAATCTTTTAAAGGTCACCTATCATGCTATTTTTAGGGAATAGCATAGGTCTCAGATATATACAAATATATAAAAAACATGTCTATGAAGTGTTTTGGTCAAAAAACCAAACAGATCACCCATTCTAGCCATGCCTCATATCCCTCTATTTCACTTCCTGTTTCAAAAGTGCTGATTTTGGGTATAAACAGGTCTCTCTTGAGAATGAGGCCCTGTGTCTCAATGAGATGTTCACCTGTATAAATAAAGGCTAACAATAAATAATTGTAATAATAATAATAATAATTTTTTTTTAAACTGAAAAAAATAAGAGGGGGCGGAGCTTATGCCGGCTCATGCGGGACCTGGCAGATACTGTCTAAAATGCTGCGGTGATGGAACGCAAGGATTATTAGATCAAGGATTATTTCTGAAACAGTATGGAGCTCAAAGGCTTTCTCTCTTGCCGGTTATACCACAAGGTGAGTTCCTTTTTATTTCCTGCTTCTTCACACACATGCTCTCCAGTACAGGTTAGCTCTGAGTGTTAGCGATGCTAATGTCAACACCGACCATATTACGTCCAAAACAGTCGGGCATTGTTCTGATTGCAAAGTTTCTGATAGTGCTGTCGGTCCGCCGCTGATATGACGTCATATCGGACGCAAATCTGAATCAGCTCCATTGTAGCCCCGTTTTTAGAGATTTGGGTACGGAGGAAAAGAGAGAGGGTTTTATTTTCTGACGCTGCGTGAGTTCCCTGACACACCGGGACACATATTTATGTATAAAAGACATAAAAAAGTGCATTTTGCATGATAGGTGTCCTTTAAGATTTAAGGATGGGTAAGCATAAAGGGGCAGAGTCATTCGCATTCATCAAAATTGTCTTCATTTTAAAGATATTCTTTGTAAGCATGTACATTTACATTGAAAATTGGATATGTAACATTTACCCACAATACCGACAAAAGCTTACAAAAGTTCACTGAAGCAGAGAATTATTCTCGTAGCTCCTTATGTGTAACACAGTTCTCTCCTTGCTAATTAAACATTGCAATGCAGGGAATGCTAGCGTAGCCCTGTCCTGAGCATTTAAAATACAGCTATACTATAATGAAGTAATAAGTAAAAAGGGAATACAACTTTCAGTTTCGCTTCCTGATATTTCAGCAACAAAACTAACAACACAAGTACATTCAAATGATACAATGACACAAAATACATAATATTATTAACAGTGTGCAGATACAGTAGAACATGTAAACGTGTAGATTTGCAAATGTTCATATGTGTATAATGTTGCATGTTTCTGTGTGTTTCAGTTTGCTGTAATATTGTCTTTAAGCCAATTAGCTAGCTGCTTGTTTTAGCTATTTATTTATGTTGCAACCGAGCTCTTGCAAATCACAAAGAAACAAGAACGAATTTGTATTTTAATTTCATTTAAAAGTGCTACATGACTGGGATTAGATTTTCTTGTTACAGTATCCTCCATGAAGGACCAAAGATAGGTTTCAGTACCATGATGCTGACGTCGATCACACTGACGTCCATTTCCTCTCTGTCTAAAGCAGTCGTCACAGACACAACCCCACTGCTGGAGTCGATGTTGAAGTTACTCCGATACTTGTCTGGAGACACTAAACAAACAAACACAATGTTAAATATTTTGGGTTTCAGTCTCAAAAAAGTCTGAGCAGTTTATTTTGTTCTTGTCGTTTACCTGCACTGATGCTGTAAGTTAAAGGAATCATTATCCCTTTGTCTCCGTCCTCAGCTTTTATCGCCGCCGGCTCAATGGTCCGGAAATGCCCAACCTGAAATATGTAATATGAAAGGGGTTTAATAAAAAATAATCAGCAAATCATATTTAAAAGCAACATTCAGCAGTGACATTTTAGAAAACAATACAAATATAACTATTTAATGAGCAGAGATGTTAAATGTACACTTTCATCTACCAACATTATCTTAGAAATACAGCAACAACCTCATCACTATTGACTGTATATTATTTTAGCATTTATTGTTGGCTGGCATTGCAAAGAGAGAAATGTTTTGGGTTCAACCCGTATGCATTAATGGGGACATTATTTGCTTTTGAATTTTCAAATCATTTTGGCTGTGATCTACATTGTGGTTAGGATGTGTTTCAATTATATTATACTATATATTTTATATTCATTTTTTAAAATTACTTTTCAATGTTCAGTTCTTAAAGGCTCAACTTCAGCTCCAATAACAGGTCAATAATGAAGTGCATAAGATATGTTGTTTTGCATTATATTTTGTAGGTTAAAGGGGACACATTATGCTCATTTTCAAGTCCATATTGGTATTTTGTGCCAGGGGTGTCAAACTCAAGGCCCGGGGGCCAAATAAGGCCCGTGACTTCATTTTCTGTGGCCCCACAAGAGCTTGCAAAGAATATAATATGTTTATTATACGGTTACGTGCAGCTTCACATAAGCACGTTGCTCATAAACTACATGTCCCACAATGCATCTCAGATATTCGTTTTTTCTCAGAATTTGGCAGTATTTTCTTCAATATATATTATATGCATTTTTCTCAGAATTTGACTTTTTTTTCTGCAAAATATGCCTTTTTCTTAGAATTAGCCTTTCTCTCAGAATTGTTCTTTTTTTTCAAAATGTTACTTTTATTTTTTGACTTTTTTATTTTTTATAATTTGGCTTTTCTTTTAAATTATTTTGTGACATTCTCACTGAAGAGACTTGCAATTATTTGCCCGAGACTTCTGCTTTCAAACGTAGTTAATTATGAAGTTATTACCATATATACAGTACTATGGTTATTACCCTATCTGATAATAATCCAATGCAGAGGCAATAATGTAATATATAATACATTATTTTATATATATTAAATATTTATGTATGTATTCTTACTGTATATAGTCTTAAAGTTACAACCGGCCCTTCACTCAAAGAAATAACTCATTGGATTAACTCAATTTTATTGTTGGCAGGTTTTCCATCCAATAAATATATGTGGCACAAACTCAAACTAATGGCATCCATGCAGTATAATGTAAATGAGTTAGTCCAACTCAAATTTTTCAAATAGAGTTTAAGTAAAATGATAACATTACCTTTATGAATTTAAATAATGCTAGTCCACCTAAATCCTATTTAATTAATTGAAAATGAAATAATGAGGTTAAATATAATTTAATAAAAATGTGTTACACATGATAGAAAACATGGTTTAGTTTTTTTTATTTTTAAATTCACATTATTCAAAACAATCCTCCATTCCATTCAATACAGTGTTTTAAAAATGAATGAATTCACACTGAAAGATGAAAAACATTTCTGAAAGATAATACCATTTTTAAAATGGCAGAGAAATGGAACTCCTATAATTAACTTACAAATCTCCCTTTGCCAAATACAATGAATACAATATAACAGGGGTATGCACTGCTCTTCTAACAGGACAATAACACATAACATAAAGAGTGCACTGCAAACACCAACATATGGAAATAGTGTTACAGTGTGTTGAAACAAATACAGAAAAGCACAGAACAAATGATTGATATAACGGCTCAATCTGCTCTGACTAGGAAACTCGTGAATAAAATGACAACAATGAACTCATGAGTCACTTCTTTTTCACATTTCAATCGAACAACTTGATCTTCAGACTTTCGATTTTACCATTCAGCTTGTGCCCATCCAGATTCATCACTACCTTCTGCATGAACTCGAAGGTGTGTTTGAGGTTGTCTGGAAAGCTCAAATCCAGGGCATAAATAAGTCCCAATAGCATGACAAACCCCACAATCACGCTGCCCAAGTTGTCCATGACTATATTGCCTTCGATGACAATTCCCACGTCCTCTGGCTGCCCATCCACATCTCTTTGAAGTGTGTATATGCCCATGACTGTGTTTGCCATGTCCCTCTTGGCATCTTCAGAGGCAGAGGCCTGAACAAAGACACAAACATACAACATATGTGTTAACTAAAACCTGAATTACTACATTTTATAGAAGCAGATTTACTTATGTGGCTCTCCTAATTGATCAAAACAGTTTTAGACTAACCCTCTGGTATCACTCAAATGTACTACCCTATTTGGCCACTCAGGATAAAAATGTCCACTTTCAAAAACTTGAATGATAAAATGATATGATACAAATATTATATTTAAATATTTTTCCCCCACACTTTTTGGGAAGTGTGGGAACATTTTTTAAATGGACAATTAGGGTAATTTGTACAGTGTATTCGAGACCGATTAGAAAAATTGAAATTCCAAAAAGTATCTAGAAAAAACACAAAATCATTATAGCCAAATCTGATGTGAAAAATTACCAATTTGGACAAAAATGTCCGAGTGATACCAGAGAAGGTTAGGACCTCCAACACAGAACTAAATTAAGCTTGTAAGAAAATGTTTGCATAAATAAGTTATAAAGATATATTCCTGTATGTTCTGTTTGATTATCAACGTTATCTTATTTATTAATTCAGGTATTATTTGTTTACATCCCTACTTAATAATGTAATTTGTTGTTATTCCTGTAGTTAATTATGCATTTACCTACTTATTTCGATATGTATTTGATTATTTATTCTTTAATAATTTATTTCCTTGTTATGTGATTATGTAATTATTCCTTTAACAATTTAGTAATTGCTGCATTCACATACCTTTTTAAACATGAATCTATTGATTAATATATTTCAGCATTTATTTATTATTTTATTTATGTATTTATTCAATTATTTATAAGTTCTTACATATGTATTCATGTCCATATTTATTTATTCATTTATAGATGTATTTATATATAAATGTAAATATTTATTTCAGCATTCATTTATTATTTGTATTTATTTCCAGATATATTCATGTTTTAATTCACATTTGTATTTATCAATTGTATTCCTATGTTAATTTATAGATGTATTTATATCTGTATAAATGTATTAATTCACTTTTTTCTATATTTATTTTAACACTTGCCCGATGAAATTACTTCTGTATCTATTTATTATTATTTTTTTATTTCTGTATTTATTCATTCTTACATATATTCATTCCTATATTAATGTATAGATTTATTTATTTCTGCATGTATTTATGATATGTGATAAGATATTTAGATGTAAGCAGGGATAGGGTTGTGTGCCATATAATTTTCTTATTATAAATGTAAGTAATGGTGGTTATAATTGTGGGTAACACTGTTAACCAATACATTGAAAACATATTGTGATAAACATACCTGATACTCCTTAAAAAAAGAGTCTGGATCCTCGTTGAGGTAGATCGCGATGCTTCGCAGGATGCACCCCCTCTTGATGTGGATGTTTTCAAACTAAAGCAGGGGCGATAAATCAAAGACAATTAAGCACAATGCATGTGCAACAGAGCAGGTAGTTTACAACGTAGAGGGCTGTATCTGTCGTGTGTGTCCCTAAGCAGGACTCCTTACACCTACATTTCCACAATAAGCTATTGCCTTAAAAACACTATAAAAGCAGACAATTTCTTAAATGTGTTCATATGATCATGGACAAAAACAATACAGTGAAAAACGAGGTTCTCTGCATTTATACTAACCGAATCTGATATTGCAAGGGCTTCCTTGATTTTGTGCCCCTTCACTCCTCCTTTGGTCTTGAAGATCTTCAAGAGCTTGTCTGAGAAGTGGTCCAGCTGCCACATGAACTTTGATTGAAGTGGTGATGTTGTGATCCTCAAAAACTCCGCATTCACCTTAAAAATATTATTAACAAGCACAATACAACCAATTGTTACTTGTTTATTAGAATCACAACCATGCAAGGATGTAGACATGAATCACAAAAGACAATAATAAAAGACTGTCAACAAATACAAATATGTACTTACTTCACTCTGCTGAAACAGAGCAGGCCATCTGCATTTGAAGTCCCCTATCAAAGGCCTTTGCTCCACAATCTCAAGGCGTCTGTGGGAGAAGGTTTTTTCCATTTTTGCTTTTATCACCACTTCATTGTCACGCTTTTTCAGTTCTGACAATAAGGCAATTCTCTCGTTCTCCAAGCTTTCTGTGGTTTCGCCTTTTGGGTGCAGAGGAATGTAGTTTACTTCAGCTTTTCTTGGTTTTTTTATGTTTGCTGCAGCTTTGCCTTGGCCTGTTTTCTTGTGCTTTAAGGAGTTCACAAGGATTTCAGGATGTCCAAGACGGCCAAGCTTTGTACGATAGTTTTGCATTTTGTACTTAAGAGACTGTTTCCACCCCCCAAATCCTGTCTTGGATCCTAGCTGCCCCAAACAAGGGTGGGCCCTCGTCAACGCTGCAGCTACCTCTTCACACTGATAGTCTTTCGGATATTTTGTGAATTTGATCATTTCTTGGGCTAGGCCATCAAGAATGACTCCTTTCAGCTTTAGGCCAGGCTGGAAGTATGTACCAGTTGTCTCAAACTCTGCATTCTTTAGATGAAGCTCAAATTCAGCCTCGTAGGTGAGCTTAGGAACCACAAAAACTGTGGGCCAGGATAACAATTGTGAGGCCTGAGCTTCAGGGGATGGATGCGGGGTTGACGTATACACCATATCATCACTGCAGCATGAGGCTATTGATGATTCAGGGATTAGAGGCTCTGAGCTTCCAGTAATTGAGGTCTTATCAAATGAGTCAACTGTGTACAAAGTGATGGAGGGCTCAATATTTGACAATATAGGAGAGTAAATTACTTTCAGTGTGCTTTTATCCTGAATTTCAGACACTGATGTAAGATTCATGAACTCGTTAAAGTCAACATCCATGTATTGCAGACGGAAGTCCTCTTTCAATTGAAGAGATGTCTTGACAAATGTGTGCAGTTCTTCAACTGTTGCTGGGATTCCCGAATCCAGGGTCAGTTTTCTAGAGTCAGACTGGTCGGCAAAGATGATGCGCAGAAGCGCCCGACCTGCCATTATGGAACACCTTTTAATCTAGAGCAGAAACAAGGTGAAAGAAACACATTAGGATTATATCAAAGATGAACATAAAAATGGTTTTACAGTTTTTGTCAGAGCCTGCTATCCAGAGCTCAGACTATTTAGGTTTAAAAATGATACTCACCTTTAACAATGATGAATCTTTTCAACATTACCATGCGCAAACTCCCAACCATGTAGTCAACAAGGGGATAGGGGTCTACCAAGTCAGCAAGCTCAATAACGGCAACCTCTGTATTGGGCGAGGCAGACAGCTCAAAAGCACCATAATGCTCTCTGTACCAAGCACATGCGTCTTTTACCAGAAAACACAACTTCTCCTTAACAATGCAAAGTTTAATGATCTCATGGAATTTAGGCAGTCCATCTGCAGATCCGTGTACAATAATCATCCCCTCGCAGTAACGTATACCCAAGCTAGACACATTGTTTGCCATATGAACCTCAGTCACATCTGGGAAACTTTGTTTCAGTGTAGACACGACTCCCTCATTAAGGACATCAACAGGCAGGATTGAGACATGTGTGACCTCCAAGGATGACTTCTTGACACTGGAGGAATGTGTGTGATAGGCAAGCATGAACTGGTGTTTAGTAGCTAGTGAACGAGGTATGTTCTTAAAGCAATTGGTGTGACGAGCAACCTGCTTGAAGAAGCTATGTTTAGCCTCAAATCTCATTGTCCACAGTACAATTAGAGGCCCGAAGCAACGAATCATTTGCGGATAGTGCTCTAAAAAGTGATGTTTTGGTAAGAGCTTTACATGTGGAAAGAGTTCAAGATAGCGCTGCCTATGATCATAGATCTTGGCTTCAAGATAAGCAATGGTCTCATCTGTGTGAACAGGGGCCACAACCAACTCAACTATGTCCTTAAGATCTAGAATTAGCTGCCACGCTGGTTCATCTTCTGGTAAAATGTGCCCAATCACAAAGGGAAGCAGTCTTATTAAGGTCCAGTTTTCATGCGCATTGCCACCTATTGTGTTTCTAGATGTGAAAGAGCGTGGTATGGCATGGGGGCGATTGGTTCTGTCCCCCCATTTGTACGGAAATGTCTGAATCAATGTGTTGAGCCTTTCAAAAGTGAAGTATTTTTTGGAGATCAACAAACTCATACAACGAGCCAGTTCAACTGGTACAACACCTTCAAAAAGGTCGTGCACAATGTCAGGAGGATAACCAGTAGTTACATGAAAATGGGAAAGGTGCTCTGTTAAAACACACTGCTTTTTTACACCACAGCAAATAGTTGCATTCTCCTGAGCAGACTGGACATGAACATCATGGATGTCTCTTGTTCTCAGTTGGAAAGCACCTGACTGGACATCCTTAGTCTGAAAATCTGATTTGACTCCAATACAAAACCTGCATACTGACCCAGCTGAAAAACTCTCAACAAATCCCCCGAGCCCATGGGCTCCAAGATTGTCAGCTATAACACACTGGACAGAACCTTTAACAAACTGACCAAGCTGAGATATAAATACACCGTGCTGTTCTAATATGCTTAAGTCTTGCAAGAGAGGCTCCAACACTTTTCCATAGCCATAGGTCTTAACATCATCAGATTTGCATAGAACAGCTAAATAGATTGAGTTTAGTGTTGAATGGGAACCTGGTGGCAAATTACCCAAAACCCAATATACACCACAAAGTTTGTGTGTCTTTCGAGATGTCCCAAGAGGGTTACAAATCTCAAAATCATCAACATAAAGATTTACAGAGATTCTCAAACCTTCATCAGAAAAAAACGAATTCTGTTTATAGTACTCACCGTCTCTTACAGTTCTGTACTCTTGGGGAACAGCCAATAGCCGCTGTTGCGTTTCAATATGTTCAAGGACACCTTTATGAGAGAGCAAATGTTGCAAAGACTTTAACAGAGGGATATATTGAAATGTCCTATTCCTCTGGGCATCTAGTATGTACTCAACCGGCTCTAAAACACCAAAATGAGATGTATAGTACTGTGTACGTTTATATGCTGTAGCAAGAGGGCCATCCTTTGCAATAGCTGTGGCCAATGGACTAGAATTGCATAGAGCAGTGGAAAGCTCACCAACTACTGAATCTTCAACCTGTAGTTTATGGCTCTGTAATACATCAGAAACAATAGCTCTAGTGACAGGCAAAGATGATGTACTTAATATGTAGTGAAGTTCAGAAAGGACTTCATCAATAACTGTCTTTGGAATGTGAACAATATTTTCCAACTTCAATAAAATGCATGCAATTTTTTCTTCGATTAAATTTGGAAGGTGTATTTCTGAAGCATCACCACAACTTAGTGTTTCATATTCCTGGTCTATATCGACAGACTCCGTTGGACCAACTGCAGAACTGTGTGACTGATCCAACTCACCACTTGTACTGACAACATTGGCTATAAAGTCTTTAAGTGAATGTTGTCTGTGTTTCCTATTTTTGTGTGTGTTGAATGTACTGTAAATGTTAGTTTTAAATGTGCATCCTAGAAACATACATGGTACAGTTTCATTATGCCTGAGATGTCCATTAATATGTTGGAAGAAATCTTTTTCTGTTAAGTCTCTACGTGAGCACACATGACACTTAAATGTAGGTAATTCTACTGGCTTTGGTGTTAGCTGTTTAGCATGAGTTTTGTATGTGTGATTTAAAAGTTTACTCCATGTGTCAAACGAACATGGGCAATCAGTATATGGACATGGATAGCGACAACTGCCCCTTAAATGTGCATGTGTCTGCCGGAAATGTTTTAACAACAAATACCTGCTAGCTAGTTCCAAACTGCAGTGTTTGCACTGCCACATGCATAACCTGAAAAAGAGAAAAAAGAGAATTAGCAATTGACACTGAACAACTGACAATGTCACAGATCAGCTTATGCAAGTAATGTGAAAGTAGCCGTGTACTTACCATAAATAAGAGGTTGCCCCAAGATGCTTGTTAATGCTGATCAAACTGCAAAAGACAACATAAATATATTAGAGGTGTGATTAAAATGCTTATATATTTGAATTTTCACAGACAACACATAATTGCCTAAGATTGCACAACCCAAAAAAAAATGATAACAGATCACACTTTAAAATTAAGAGTCTAGTAGACATGTTTTATAAAGCAGGCCTACGTTTCTGCACAACTCTGGGTGCCTGCTTGTGAGTGAGGTAACCCATACAAGATTCACATATATATATTATCTCATTATTTATATTAAATATTTGGCAGTAAAAAACTAAACTCAACTGAACTCCTACAGAAACGAGTGGCTCCGCCTGTCCTCCTCTGCCTGCACTAAGGCCAGGAGAGAGATGGACAGACCTGCTGAGCTTTATGATAGAAAATGGCGGCGCTTACTCTTTGCATTTTTTGGTTGAATTTAAACTGAATTTCGGTGTACTGTGTTCAATGACAATAACGTTAAATCGAATGTAATATAATCTAATGATCTCCATTATCCAGTATTCAATGCTAACCGTATCTAGCAAGCTAGCTAACAAACCAGTTATCCAGCTAGCTAGCTTTACCTCGTGCACTTGAATTACTCTTTGCATTTTTTGGTTGAATTTAAACTGAATTTCGGTGTACTGTGTTCAATGACAATAACGTTAAATCGAATGTAATATAATCTAATGATCTCCATTATCCAGTATTCAATGCTAACCGTATCTAGCAAGCTAGCTAACAAACCAGTTATCCAGCTAGCTAGCTTTACCTCGTGCACTTGAATTACTCTTTGCATTTTTTGGTTGAATTTAAACTGAATTTCGGTGTACTGTGTTCAATGACAATAACGTGACATCTAATTTAATATAATCTAATGATCTCTACTATCCAGTATTCAATGCTAACCATATCTAGCAAGCTAGCTAGCTTGCTGTTTAGACCCAACTAAAAACGGAGCAAAATATAACACGGTGGTTTCAAATATTCTTGTCGATATAATGAAAAGGCATTAGGCCTACTTGGAAACAGGGAACATTCTAAACTACTAGAAAAAACAAATACTTACCAAATAATAGACTTTCCACCGTCAGTTTCACACCGTCAGTGTTAGACAAAAGGCGGCAAATGACAGAACGGATCTTGTGCATGCGCAAAGGTGATGTGCAAAGGGGCGGTCCCAAATGAAAACAATTCATTTTGAGTTGCTCTGTCTTAAATACATTTAATAAGTGAATTGATTAATGTAATTTGTGTTACACTAATGAACTATACTTAGGTTTATTTCTTAAATAAAAATATTTAAGTAAAGTGAAACAATTATTAATGTGTCAAGTCTAAGAAGGGCTTGAATCGTTTTTTTGAGTGTTGGAGTGCAACCATAATGCCCTCGATGAAATTGAGTTTGACACCCCTGCTCTACTGTGACAGAGAAACTGCCTCTGGAGGGAACTCTTGGATTTGAGGCTTTGCAGGCAATTTATGCACAAAACCCATACACACAACAACAGGCTGCAGGAAAGGGGAAACCCCAAAAGCACAAAAGGGCCTCTTTAACAGACTCACCTGATTCTCTTGAATGAAGGCCTGGTACACGTTGTAGCTGAAGAAGGGATTCAAGTTATCAAAGTCCACTACGTTAATCGTCACAGTGGCCGTGTCGTTTAGACCCCAGTTATCCTGCAGAGAACACAGATCAGTCAGGTTCTCATGTCCCCTTGGCTTTTTAAATAATTCTGTTTAAAGTTGTAAATATGTTCACTTACCCGGGCCGTCACAAGGAAGTTGTATTTCTGGACTAAATTGTAGTTTAAACGTCTGTTCAAAATAAAAGCCCCTGAGCTCAACAAACTAAAGTCTTCTGAGGTTGGTGCCTTATAAAAAGAAAACAACATTCACAGATTTTTGTTACACATCATGACACGTGATTTTGAGAGTTAAAGATTCAAAACAATAAAATAAGCATCATAATGTTGGCAGTCTGGTCACTTTTTGTCGTAAGAATCCATCATTGTTTGTGAGTTAAATGAAAGGCACACTTTGACAAAATGACCCAAAACCATTTTTTTAACCATTAGGATTCATGTTAGAATCATACAAACCAAATAGCTAAAAAAACATCTTCAAACATCTGCTCTCAGTGCATCAAAAATAATTCAAAACTACGAATATCTGATTGTGATTAAAACAATTCTTAAGCTACTCTACTCTTGTTACATGTGTAAGTAAAATAATTAAAATATGAGTTTATCATTACAATGATTATATTATTATTACATAGGAGTATGTCACTAAGTTGTTTGCTGTAGTGCTGTCTCCATCTTTAGCCGTAACTTGGACAACCACACTGTCCACGTCTTCAATCTAAAAAAGAGAAAAGACTGAAATGACGCACAGATAAAATAAACAAACATCATCATCAAGCATCAGAATCAGATATTTGTCCCGCAACGGGGAAATGTACGACATTATAACAGCAAAGGTACAATGCAGATTAAAGTAAAAAAGAATAGACTTACATATCATATAAAAACTAGGCACACATTAATAAGAACACAATACAAGAATAACAAATAACAGATAAGAACACCATGATAAAACATAAGTAGCAGGATTTCTTTCTAAAAAAGTGACCATATGAACATATTGAAGTAGCTGGTAATGTTTAAAATTGTAAATAAATTCAAAGTAAGAAATATGAAACGTAAATTGCACGTGAGTTCATATTGCACATGAGCGGTGGTATGGAGTAGTGCGGGGATGACGTATTTACCCGGAAGTAATCTGTGCATGGGTTCCCTCGACAAAAAAGCAATGGCATTTCTCCATAGGATTTTTGAAAATAGCTCGAAATAAGGTCTGTGGTTGAAACACATTTAGGAGACGGATCACGTTTTGTTCAGCCGGATAATATCCACATGTCTACCCTACTTTTATAATTTTCTAATCGTCTAGTCGATAGATTATAAAAGGGTTTTAGGGCGCGTCACTGCACCACTAGAAGCCAACTCCAAACCTCGAAATAAGGTCTGTGGAAACGAACCGGTTTGATAAATGCACGTTTTGTTCAGCCGGATAATATCCACATGTCTACCCTACTTTTATAATGTTCGAATCATAAATCTAATGGCCAGAAGCAAAATGCTAACGTTATGCTATAAACGAACTACAGCAGGGTCGCACGACTTAAACGTCACGCCAACTTAAGATCAATATTAAAAAATACAGATTCAAAATTGTACAAGTTGAAGCTTTTGTTTTAACAGTTTGCAGGAGGCAGGGACTTGCTTTCAAGCAGAACAGGGGGGGAACACTTAGAGTGTTTACGTGTTCGTAAACGTAAACTCTTCAGAAATCACAGCTGATGTATTTAATGTCGTAGAAACAAACTTGATCCGTCTCTTCAATGTGCTATTTTCCAAACTACTATGGAGAGAACCCATTGGCTCTGAGACGAGGGAACCGGAAGTGGTCAAATGCTAACTCACTTCCGGGTTTTAGGACTTGTCACTGCACCACTCTATTGCACTAAGCTTTAAGCTGCTGTTCCTATAAGTCATTTTAGCCTGAACACAGTTTTTGTTACTATTTGTATCTCTTTAAACTAATTTGAATGATTTAAATACTTTGCCTGCCAACAGCTTGTAGATTTCAGCGACTTACCTCAGAGACGTCAGTGGTGTAGGTCTTCTGTTCAAAAACCGGACTGTGGTCATTGATGTCGGTGATTTTCACTGTGCGCGAGTTGTTGTACTGCAAAGGTAAAGTATATTATTTTAAGTATTTTGTTCTGTGAAGCTACTGAATGCTGTGATTATTAAACGTTACTTACCTTAACAGTGCCGTCACACATGACAGAATAATACAAAGTGGAGTCACTCTGGAAGACATGAACAAAGTGTTGAGAGGACTTTCAGGACTCAGAGCAGAGGTGAGTTTTAAAATGTGTTAAATAGAATTTGAGTATCTATAAAGCTGAAATGTAAAAATGTTATTCCTCCACTCGAGCTCAGAAACGAAAATTAAAAACACAAATGGAAAATGTTGCACTAAAGAGTCTTTAACTTTGAAAGATATACAATTATTGAAGCTGCTGAATATTAGAATCAGCTGAGAGTACTGAAAGTTAGATTATGTCCCCGATCACTTCCATGAAATCTCTCTGGAAGTGATCAAATAAATAACACTGGTATTCTTTAAACAATATTTCGATGAACACAAAAGCATGAGGACTTTTGAGATAGTCTAAACATTTGTCCTTAATTGCCCCAAAAGCACCTTTGGGAAATGTGTGTGTTTCAGTTAAATATCATTAAAGTAACTCATCCTGTCTTGCAAATCATCGTTGACCTTTTTAATATTTAACCAAGATAAAGATCTTAATTAAATAACCATTAAACACTTTATACATGCTAATGAATAGGTAAACTGATAATGTCAGGCTGACTATTTCAAAACAAATAAAATGTTGCTACTACTGAACCTTATCAGTACCTTATTTTAATTTTAAATAAATGTATTCATTTTTATTGTGCATACATCTTATTATTTAGTTTTCTCTCTGTATTTGTGCTTATGTATGTAAGGTTTCAGCGTTGACATCCTTTTAGTGTAATGTCTTGTGTTCCTAGTCTTGTCACCTTCCGTTTTATTTTGGTAAATGACTCCCTCTGGTTTCAGGTGTCTTCACTTCCTGACCTTGTGTGTCACCTGTCAGCCTGATTGTTGTTCCTGCCCCTGATTGTTTCCACCTGTGCGCCATTACCATATGTGTGTGTGTGTGTGTGTATATATAGCCCTTGTCTCCCTTTGTCTTGTGCCAGTTCGTCTTGTCTCCACGTCGACTCCATGTCTGTAATCATAGTGAGTCTTTGAGCTATACCGTAGTAGAACCTAGTGATCTTTTGTTTATTATCGAAGTTTTCCTATTAAGTGATTTTGTTTGTTGCCTTAAGTTTGCAGCTTTAGTCTTTTATAAATAAAATATATGTTTGAGTTCAAACGGAATCGTGCATATGAGTTCCTGTGAGCCCATCGTGTCAATGTATGTTCTTGTGCTGCTGCAACACCTTGGTTTCCCCTATTATTTCATGGTATTCACATGTTCTGTTGATCTTAATAGGAAGCATTAACATATTTGCAGTGTATGAATTTAATATTCTAGGAGACGGGTTTAGTTGAACTCACGACTGCCAGTAGGTCTGCGTCGAGCGGCTTCTTGGTGTGAACGGTAGCGCTGGTTTCTCCCAGCGTGAAGATCAGCTCCAGAAACTCCAGATGACTGTTAAAGATTTTGGGCACCAGCTTCACATTGCTTCCTGGTGCGATCCCTGTGAACACCTCCACATCTCCTGCAGCACCATGGGAGCATTGTGATAAGGACTTTATGCTAATCATGTCTCCATACACACACAGAGTACGAATAAAGGCCTTGTTCTCCCTTCATGATGAAGTCAGGAAGAAAACAAACACAGGCGTTTCTCCTTCTACGTGATCTTATCAAAACTGTGAAGCATGTTTTTGAAATATAATACGAATACAACAATACAAAGCCAGTTTAAATAACCCTTCACATGGCATGAATGTACCGTATTATCATTATTTAGACAGTTCAAATTAGTTTTCCTCATTATAAAAAAAAAGAAGAGATTTAGCCATTTGCCAAAACCTTAACTTTAATGTTTGCAAAATGACACAGCTGCTGGATGAAGTGACTTACAATTGAATAACATTCTGCAGTTTGTTTTTCTTACTTACCTGTATATCCTTCATCCACTGTACCCACAAGTTTATTGGTATCCTCAGCACAATTTATGACTGAAGTAGCTAGAGAAAAGAAATACAAGTTAATGGAGAATAGTCTCAAATTATACCACAGAGAAAATGTTTCTACACAGATGCATGCAGAATATTTTCTTTAGCTCTCTGCTATATCCATTAATCCATTAATTTTTGACTTTTTATTTTAATTAATTATCCAGAATATTTGATATTGTTAATTCTCTTTTCCACTTTTTAAAGTATTTTAATGTCTGAACACATTTCTGCTTCTGTGACGAAAGAATTTCCCAAGTTGGGATCAATAAAGTATCCATCCATCCATCCATCTATCTATCTATCTATCTATCTATCTATCTATCTATCTACAGTGGGGCAAACAAGTATTTAGTCAGCCACCAATTGTGCAAGTTCTCCCACTTAAAAAGATGAGAGGCCTGTGATTTTCATCCTAGGTACACTTCAACTATGAGAGACAGAATGGGGGGAAAGAATCCAGGAAATCACATTGTAGGATTTGTAATTAATTAATTGGTCAATTCCTCGGTAAAATAAGTATTTGGTCACCTACAAACAAACAAGATTTCTGGCTCTCACAGACCTGTAACTTCTTCTTTAAGAGCCTCCTCTGTCCTCCACTCGTTAACTGTATTAATGGCACCTGTTTGAACTCGTTATCAGTATAAAAGACACCTGTCCACAACCTCAAACAGTCACACTCCAAACTCCACTATGGCCAAGACCAAAGAGCTGTCAAAGGACACCAGAAACAAAATTGTAGACCTGCACCAGTTTGGGAAGACTGAATCTGCAATAGGTAAGCAGCTTGGTGTGAAGAAATCAACTGTGGGAGCAATTATTAGAATATGGAAGACATACAAGACCACTGATAATCTCCCTCGATCTGGGGCTCCACGCAAGATCTCACCCCGTGGGGTCAAAATGATCACAAGAACGGTGAGCAAAAATCCCAGAACCACACGGGGGGACCTAGTCAATGACCTGCAGAGAGCTGGGACCAAAGTAACAAAGGCCATCAGTAACACACTACGCCGCCAGGGACTCAAATCCTGCAGTGCCAGACATGTACCCCTGCTTAAGCCATTCTCATTCTGTCTCTCATAGTTGAAGTGTACCTAGGATGAAAATTACAGGCCTCTCTCATCTTTTTAAGTGGGAGAACTTGCACAATTGGTGGCTGACTAAATAGTTTTTTGCCCCACTGTATCTATCATCTATCTATCCATCTATCTATCTATCCATCTATCTATCTATCTATCTATCTATCCATCTATCCATCCATCTATCCATCTATCTATCTATCTATCTATCCATCTATCTATCTATCTATCTATCCATCTATCTATCTATCTATCTATCTATCCATCCATCTATCTATCTATCCATCCATCTATCCATCTATCCATCTATCTATCTATCCATCATCGATCTTAAAAGTAATAATCATAATAATAATTCTGTGTGATATACATTGTATGTGAAATGTCTATGTAAAGCACTTTGGACGGCACTTGTTGTATGAAAGGTGCTATACACATAAATATTATTATTATTAATAATAATAATAAACCTGGTACAACAAAGACAGTGCCGTCTTTGTTAAAATGGTGATTAAAACCAAACAGACAATTTAAAGTACATGAGAACATACTTCTGGGTGTGTCTAAGTTGGTGTTGTCTTTTAGCATTATACTAGCAATTGACAATGGACTTTGAAACATCAAAACTTTATTAGAGGTGTGCGTGATCAAACGGACATGACAAGATCATTTTATGCAAATGTAGAGTGGAATCATCTGCTCAGCGCTTTAGTCTGTGTAGGACTTAAAGAGAGGCCTGTGTGAGGGCTGAGAGGTTTATTACATTACATGTCACTTGTTAGACGCTTTTATCCAAAGCGACTTACATACTCAATGCTGTGGGCAATCCCAACAGGAGCAATTTGGGGTGAAGTGTCATGCCCAGGGACACAACGACACGCTGACTGCAGTGGGGTTTGAACCTGTGCTCCCCTGATCCGAACACCAACTCACAACCCACTGCACCACACGCCTCCATAAACCCACTGCTTTATTTACGCAGGTGGATGATGTGTTGCATGTGTGTTCCCATAGAATATATACACATCACGTACATTAACTATAATAACTCTATTCGGTGTAAAAACAATAGCATGATGGCCAAAATGACAAACATTTTCAACACAAAAAATGAAGAAGTGCCAACTTTTAAAAACACATTTCGGTTCATTTTCTTTCTATCTTGATACGATTTGTAAAACAGCCCCACCTACTGATTATATCTCTTTAATCTAGTTGGAGCGTTTCCCATGCGTAACATTTTAAATTGTATTATACATTATTCAAACCTTCTGCCTGAGATCGTTCAGATTAGTGTTCATGATAAAGATTTCCCAATGAACCTATGAACTTCAGGCCCTGCCCCACACTCACTGTATGTATGTCTGTTTGATTTTGGGTGGATTACAATTACAGATTTGTAACACAAAGATACCTTAGTACTGACTCAATCAGCATTTAACATGATTGAAATCCAGAACCTTCACCACAGATAGAAAAGTAATCCTAACGTTTTTAAATCCAATCTGTTTCTAAAATACAAGATATCCATCCATTACTGCTTCACTCACCTAAAGGACTTCCAGTAATGACACACACAAAAATGGAGAAAATTAGGAGGGGACCGGTCCGGATCAAACCAACCGTGTCCATATCTGCTTGCTTGTCTTTTGCCAAAACATGAAGAAAGGACACTGAAATAATCACCTGAATCTCTGGTGTTGAGAGTCCATTTCCGCAGTTCCCCTCCCCTTTCCAGCAATCTTGTTTTATGGCTGGTTGTAAAGTTACAGTATCACTGATGGTGGACTGTGCCATGGCAAAGTCTGAGTTTCTTTTCCCCTGAAAATGTGAAGGAGACTTGGGTTTGAACTTCACAGGAGAAGAAGGGCTATATTAAGCTCTAAATAAAGGCAGGCTGCTGTGTTCAGAAGATACTTTTGACCTTGTTTGTTCCTATCATGTGATTTTGATTGTGTTTTCACTCTGTGTGAAATTATGAATAAAGAATGCTGGTGTATACAAGTCTGGCCTAAATCTTCTGTCAGAAAGATTGCCACAATCCAGGGGGTATAGATATCTAAACTTTAATTGTGCACAGGAGTTATGGTGTTACAGTATGTTCGTTTGTTATGTTGTGGTTATCTATGAAATATAAATAAACAGAGTAGATTAAATTAGTGAATGACAATATTAATCCTAATAGTTACATTACGATTTCCTGCTAGGAACAGTACATACACATAAATGCTGGAACAGTCAGCTGCATGGTAAACAATACCAGAAAGGCCCGCAAGAGGGCTCACTTGACCGCAACAAGTGCAAGTGTTTTAACAAGTGATAATGGCGGCTTACAGGGGCATACAGTTGTACATGCGGTAATGGCAGCTGACAGAGGCTTAAAGTTATACATAGCTCACCGCAATAGCACGAGACTGGACATATATGACGATCGTACAATACAAATATAATCACAGCGGACAGAAAGTGAAACTACTGAACATTTAACCGGCAGTCACACTTACGGCAAACAAGTACTGTAAACAATATATTGTGGTGACCACCTATTAATACACTGGTTCATAATTCACACATGGAACTACAGTTGGGGTTTTGTTTCCACACGGACATGTTAGGTGTTGTCTATATATGTTGTGTGCCCTCTTGGCTTCTCTCTCTTCTTACCGGACTGCAACCGGACAACCGGACATGTCCTTTTCTGCTTCTAAATAAAGTACCCTTTTGCACCATCATTGCACCGCCTCTGACTCCCTATCTCTCGGCACTACACTGGTGACCCTGACACGTCTCGAGAAGTTTCCGGGACGCACCCGAACACGGCAAAAGGAACTCATGTTTCTTTCTCGAAATGCCGGGGATTTTTTGGAATCGTCCGTGGCTGCCACCGGCACGCGGACTGAGGCTCGGTGCGCGCCCCGCAGAAGAGCTGGGGACGTTGCTCGCCATTCCCGCATCAGCCTTCCATCCAACAGGGGGACGATGCACGACCTGCTGGGTCGACCAGCAAACCGATTGCTACCTCGTGGGCTGGTTTCTTTCGGAGAGTGCGGCTGCAAGTCCCGGCTGCGCTAGCTGACGACGACTAGCGGCTGACCACGAGGGGCTAACGACGGCTAGCAGCTACCCATGGCTACCAGCTAGCGGCTAACGGCTAGCTGCTAACGGCTGTCGACATATTTCTGTTAACATCTGACTGTTAACAATTTTTTTCCGGTGCCGGAGAGGAGATTCGATCAGCCGGTTGACCTCGTGTGGACACTCCTACTTTTTTCACCACCTCGACGGCGGTTTCCAGACGCCACTCACGTTTTCATTGGCGCCTGGTGGCGCACTCCTGGACCCCGTCTCGCCTTGACGGTTTCGGACGTCAACCATGCTGCCATCGGCCCGTGGGTGGCGCGCTCCGGAACCTGTTCTTGCCTCTCCTGCCTTCCGGGGATATCCAGACGCCACTCACGTTTTCATCGGCGCCTGGGTGGCGCACTCCTGGACCCCCTCTCACCTCGACAGTTCCGGACGTCGCCCAAGCTCCATCGGCCCATGGGTGGCGCGCTCCGGGACCCTGTCTGGCCTCTCATCTGTCCACGGCTCCTTCCTCCCGGGGAGACTGCTCCTGCCTCCCGGGGATACCTCAAGGCTTGCCAAGGATTCCGTGCCCGCCGCCGCTGTGCGTTTGCCTGCGGCCGGGTTGCTCTCCTGCTTCCCGGGGATACCTCAACGCCTGCTGAGGACTTCGTGCCCGCCGCCGCTGCGTGTCTGCCTGCGGCCGGGTTGCGCTCCTTCCTCCCGGGGGGACTGCTCCTCTCTTCCGGGGATACCTCGACGCCTGCAGAGGACTTCGTGCCCGCCGCCGTTGTGTGTCTGCCTGCGGCCGGGTGAGGGAATGCTCCGGTTTTGGGACAAAATTAAAAACATTTTTAAAAACATTTAAACAATTAAACAATGTTTACCCAGGATTCAGGCACCTTCCCTGGCTTGTAAAATGTGGTGATGCGCCCTGGAGATATCAGACTATTTAAAACATGTATACCCAGGATTCAATCACTTTTCCTGGCTTGTAAAGTGCTGTGAAGCAGCCTGTTCTCTGGGTGCAGTCTGGGTGCAAGAGCCATGCGCTGCAAGGAGATCTCTGGGTGTGCTCTGTGGCTCTCACAGCCTGCTTCTCTCTGGCTGCTCTCTCTGTATTCACAGCACTTTCCCCCAGCATTACAAACATATTAATCGGGGGTTTTAACACTTTTTTCCATGAAAATGATTTTTATTCACTATCATGGGGCTATATAAATCAAATTCCGGGTAATTGGGAGCACAATTGTACCTTTTACTATTTAAATGTATTTGTATTATATATTTTTGGGCTATTAAAGTGACATTTCTGGGTGACTTTGTCAGTTTATGGAGCTTAGCCCACAATTCCCGGAGGTTCCAGGCCGAATTTGGGAGCTCATAGGCGGCCTGCCATGCGCCCCCACCCGTGGAAAGCCGAAAAAAGTAACCAACGGAGGAGGGGCTCCAAAAAGCTCAAGTCTTCGGGGCTTCGGGCAGAAGCAGCGGACACTTTTCCACTCCCCCGTTGCAATTTACAACGGAGAGGGGAATCGAGACCTCCCCTTCTCCGTCAAAAAAATGAATTCATGTTTTTCAAGCTACCATCCGCACGATATCGGAAACCCGGTTTTTGAGAGGACTCGACTGTGTGATTTCCTGGATGAATTCATCCGCTACATGTGCACTTGGCTCGGATACATTTGTTGCCTGGAGACCCCCAATCATGGTTCTTACCAAACTTTAAGTTTTTGAACTGGTCTCTGGAGGAATGTAAGGGGAGTTTGATGGGACTCTACCTGCATTATGATGCACTATTTTCGGATACATTTTACCACTTTTGGCCCGTTTTCATGGTTCTCCAAAAAGTTAACTCAGACTTTTTCTGACTCTGGAGGAATGTAAGGAGAGTTGTCAGGGGACTCTACCCGCCTTAAGAGACACTATTTTGGGACACAATTTCTCAATTTTCACCCCTTTTCTCTGGTTCTCCCAAAAGATAACAGAGTTTTTCCTGACTCTGGAGGAATGTAAGGAGAGTTGTCAGGGACTCTTGCGGGCTCATGATGCACTATTTTCGGATGCTTTTTTTAATTTTCAGCCCTTTTCCATGGATGAATTGAAACTTATTTTTTTTACATTTGGGTCAATTTGACCCAATTTTGTTACCGCATTGCCTGGAGGATAGGACCGAGAGATGACAGACTCTCTGGCCGCCTCACAAGTCACTATTGTCGGACACTTTCTTTGCTTTACCCCGGTTCTATCACTCTTTCCTCCTTTGACAATAAAACGTGTTTCCTGCTGGGGTACTGCCTGGTTCCGGGGCACCCCAAACCCTCTCATGGTCGGGGCACCATGAATTGATGCATCGGACCCAATGTTGCCATCACCAGCCCCGCGTTGGTGCGGAGGTGGGGTAGGCTTCTCAGTCCTCTAGCATTTCAGGAAGTGTGATGAGTTTCGCCACAGGTCGAATATATGTAGTGCCTTTAATATTCACCTCTGCAGAGCGTATCCTACCATCATCGCTCGGGTTCACTTTGGTTACCCCTTCCAACTGGCCAGAGATTCCTTGGCAGTTGCGGGTCGACGATCATGACGACCTGGTCTGTGGTTAGGTCTGGCGTAGGAGTGTGCCACTTTTGACGGAGCTGAAGGTTAGGGAGATAGTTACATGTAAACTGGGCCCAGAAGTGGTCAGCCAAGACCTGGCTTTGTTTCCAGCGACGACACCCAAGCAGATCGCAGTCGCCATACACTGCTTGTGGCAATGATGCATCTCGCCGCCCCATGAGCAAGAGATTGGGTGTAATGGGGTCTGGATCAGCAATGTCGCGCCTCGCATAGCCGAGGGGTTTGGAATTGAGTATTCCCTCCACTTCCACTAGCAGGGTGTTATGTATTGTAACCCTAGTTCTATAAGCACAGGCGATTGTAACCCCCCGTTTCTGCTGGAGATCAGGTGATGTACCAACATTGAGTTTTAGGTTTTTTATACAAACATCAATTAGATAATTGTATTATGTTTGTGAAGGAAGATATTCCCATTAATATAACTTTGCAAATTGTCTCTGCAAACTGTAAAATATTGGAATTGTAAGTTCAAATATGAACTGAACTAACTATTTTAACTGTTAGAGCTCCACTGCTCTTCTCTTGTTTTACCTCACAACTCAGGTGTAGAAGAGAGTAGCCTCACATGCACTTACTTCTGTATTTCTGCATCTCCATTCTCAATCTGCAAGTCAGAGTGAACACGTTCATTTGGCTTCTCCATTTCTTCAGACATCACCCTCCTCAATCTGCAAGTCACAATGAACACTTTGTTTACATAGAAAACAGACAGCTTTTTTTTTAAGGTTTAGAAGAAGCAGAAGGAACCCTTAATTGTCCCACAGGGGACATTTACATTCTACATTTGACCCCTTGAACCGTTTCCCAAGCAAAGTCCCTACGGACTTCGCCACTAACCCACTGAGACAAAAGATAAGGAACTTTATAGTCTAAGAAAATACTCAAAATAAATAGTTAAACATTTGTTTGTTAGTTTTATTACAAATAGGACAAACTTTTCAGAATGCATTTGCTTTTAATCAAAATTCATTAACCTTGCTGTTATAATAATGTTTTTAACCCTTAAATGGGTATACAATTATTGATTGCTATTTTCTACAATCAACCCATAATCGTCTGTTATTACAGATTAGATTATAGTTATTGTCCTGTGTGGCACTGTACACAGTATACATACAATATATAACAAATAAACAATAACACAGACAACAACAGATGATGACACACATGGCAGTTACATTTAGCGAGGTCTGTTATTTAAGGCAGAAATGGCTGCTGGAACCAAGGCTTTTCCAAAGTGAGCCCTAATTAACATGTCTTAGTGTACCTGCGCCCGGATGGCAGTGGGGCGAGGAACTGATTGAGTGGATGTGTGATGGCCCTGTTGTTAAGTATTGTGAGGTTGGAGTAGGGAGTCCAATTATCATGGTAGCAGTGTTGGTGATGTGTGTGAGTTTGGTCCGGTTGGTGACAGTGAGCATATTGAAATTACACCCATATTACACATTAATACACCTCTGTTCACCCCTATTTCCCAGTTATTACACCCATCTCACATCTATATTACTTCCGTATTAATAATAACACTGTCAAAGGACTGTCCTCCCCAGGAAACAAACTATTCAAGGATAATCAAAATTATGAAGATTCTCTAGCATGATCATGGTCCCTAAAAATGACATATCAGTGTCTGCTGCAGAAAAAGAGATACTATAAAAGTCGTAACCACACTGATAAAAAGTTGTAAACACATCCATCAGGTGTAGACAACCAGGGGGCAAAGTGCTCAAACATAAAACCAGGGGGAAAGCACACATAAGTGACCAGTTCAGTTTTATAAATTGGGGGCTGAAGGTATAAATACATTCTTGGCACTGCTAGACTAGAAGAAACAAGCCACATACATACTCATTATATTACTCTTACATTACCAATGTATTATCATGTGGGGTTTGGACACAGGCCAAAATGTAATCCATTCCTTTTGACTGGGACATTGGGATAATCTCCTATCAGATAACTACAAACATTTACATGTCACTTGTTAGAGGCTTTTATCCAAAGCGACTTACATACATTAAGTAGAATAATGTGAGCAATCCCCACAGGAAGAATTTGGGGTGAAGTGTCTTGGGACACGACGACGAGTGGGGATTGAACCAATGCTCCACTGATCGAACTGAGCCACAGCCTCCCTTAGAAAACCTATACCTGTCTTATTGAATAATGAATTCATTAAAGTTGTTCTTTAAAACTAAACTCAAAATGTTTCTGTTAATGTTTGTTAATATGTGATATGTTATTGCTGTAGTGTCAATCGCATTATGGAGCCTCCTGAACTTTAAGCTAAATGTTTTTTTCATTTATTTGTCTTTCTTTAGAAATGTGTGCTGCACTGTCACTGTTACTTGCTATCTCATTGTTTACAGAGAGGAACTTCTGTAAAATCTTTATCTTTGAAATACAGAAGAACTATGAGGTAAGTCACTTTGAGGTTACGTTGACGCCATCTCACGCCTCTCTTTAAACCTGTTACTACCCCCTGACTGTATTCACTGCAGCATCTTAGTTAGCTACACCATAAATGAACAATTACAAATGTGTTAAATGTATGAAATGTGTTTACCAGATGAGGTTAATCATCAATGTTTTCCTCAAATAGGCTCTGATAAAGCCACTGTGCGCTACCAGCTCAACACCCAACAGCTGATGGACACAGAGAGTAGAGAAGTAACTCAGATTTAGCAGCTAAAGGCACAGATAACAGAGCTGAAAGAGGGGACAGACAGATAGACAGAGGTAGGAAGTCAACAGCTGCAACTTAAAGACACATTATGTTTATTTTACACAAGTGTAATAAACTGAATATAAAAAACGAATCAGAATAACTGAGCATCAAAGAACACGATTTAAACTTAAGGGGTTATTTGATGTATCTTTTAATACTTTTAATGCAAAATATGAATAATTTATTATGAATGTAAAAACGATACACATGGGTAGTCGCTTACCCGGTGTTGTAAGGGAAACTTCTGTGTAGAAGCAATGCAGTGGGAGTCACCGACTCAGGAAAGAGACACGGGAAGAGCAGGAGCTTTGATGTCAAACACTGATGATTTATTTGGAGTTTCGGCCGGAGAGTTCACATCACAAGTCACAGCAGTCACGGTCTGACTGCACGGGTGGGTTGCCACATCAATTCTAAAGAACTCTACCCCGGACCCATGTATTTAGCTAGTTCTGAGAGCATCATCAACATGCTGCATAACAAGATAAAATCATAACATTACATTACATTGTATTTAGCTGACGCTTTTATCCAAAGCGACTTACAATAAGTACATTCGACCAGGAAGACACAACCTTGAAGAAAACAGAATCATATAAGTACATCAGGTTTTATAGAGCCAAACATTTCAAGTGCTACTCAACTGGCTTTAGGTAAGCCAGTCCTTTATTAGTATAAAAGTGCTCCGTTAGTAATTCTATCGCTCGAAGTGGAGTCGAAAGAGATGAGTTTTCAGTTTGCGCCGGAAGATGTGCAAGCTATCTGCCGTCCTGAAGTGTCTTCCTGTCTTGAAGTGGATTCTAGCAGTTACCGGAAGCCAGTGAAGGGAGCGGAGGAGCGTGGGAATATTTAGGAAGGTTGAAGACCAGACGAGCCGCTGCATTCTGGATGAGCTGCAGAGGTCGGATGGCACATGCAGGTAGACCAGCCAGGAGGGAGTTGCAGTAGTCTAGGCGTGAGATGATGAGAGCCTGGACCAGAACCTGAGTCGCTTTCTGTGTCAGCTGGGGACGTATCATAACACCTCTATCAGCTGACGCCAACAGGCAGGAACAGGGAGACAGAACACTGAGAGCACAGCAGACAAGGTTACGAGGTGTGTGTGCTCAGTCAGGACAGTTTGAACTGATGGGTCAAAGTTATGGACCTTGGAAAATATTTCCACAACAGGTGTGTAATAACAGAAAATACTTGAATGAAATCCCTGCTGCACTTAGCAGCTGTAGATTATATACAGAATTTGAGACAGTCATACGAGGTCTTGTTATTCTAACTCTCCCTGTAATGATCAGCTTAATAATGATACTGTTTGTTAAACACACTGCGCTGTGGACCTGGAAACACTTGAAGACAATTGTCTATTAAATCAAGACAGTGTGAATCGATTGATGAATCTTTCCCTGAAAGTTGTGATATGGGGTTTGTTGCTACGACGAATCGAAAGCAAAACATATATATATTAATAAAGTAAGGCGGTAATATCATCAAATCATGTTTTTTTTTTTTTATTAAAAAAGAGAAATGGCTTTTAGAAAAGTGAACTTACTCTCATCGGAAACACACTGCAAGAGCATAAGAGGAAAGAGAAGAGAAGAATTAAAAAGCTGCAGTTCTGGTAGATAGTGCTGATTATATTATTATAAATAAATATGCTTTGCACATTGCAGAGGACATTTAACAGATCAAAAGGGAACTGAGAACGTTTGAATGAGAGCCGCTTGTCTGAGCAACACGTCTGAAAGAGATCTGGTGCTGCGACTGCAACAGGGTCTCGCTCGCTGTGGTCAGCACGTTGTTGATGTTAGGAACAAAGTCATTTTGTGAAGTTAGTGTTAATCATGTTGTGAGGGATCCTGGACTTTTACTTGAAGTCTCCCTGAAAGGAACTCACTTTCTCTTGTTCCTAAATTGAATCACTCAATAAAGTTATGATGAACACAAAGAGGTGGAGCTGAAGTTTCAAGGTGTGGACATGGTCGCCCTCTCCTATAAAGGAAGTTAGTTCAGACCGTCTTCACCACATCAGCTTATTCCTCACACTCAGAGCGAAGAAGAAGAAGAAGAAGAAGAAGAAGAAGAAGAAGAAGAAGAGCATCCATCAGACATCTCTCTCAGACAGGTAAAAGAAACAAGGGAGAAAACACTAGAAAAACTTGTACTTTACTTGAGTATTCTTAGTTTATGCTACTTTATACTTCTAGTCCACTACATTTTAGCAGCCAATATTGTACTTTTTACTACATTTATTTGACAGCCCTTGTTATTGGTTACTTACAAACATATTTTGAAAGAGAGTCACAATCACAATTTAGGGCGACAGGGTCACATGCCTTACATGACCCTAAATTGGTTCCGATATATTACACAGTGATCGTGCCAATTCAAAATGATTCTGCATGATATTTCTCGTCAGATAAAAAAAAGTTTAATGTCAATAGGGTTAAAACATAAAAGACTATTATTACTGTAATGTCCACATTATGTGAATAAAGCCATTATTCTGTTTTTCTCTTTTCTGTTGCAGGTATTGTTCAGACTGACAGACAAAAATGAAGGTGAGGAATGTGTGGCTCTGATCATTATAATTCATTATTGTTTCATCTCTAAATAAATAATATTTAATGTTGTTAGTCGTTTCTGTGGATTTATGATTGTTAATAATTAAGGTTCAGATAGAAGTGAAGTGCATTGTTACAGCAAGCAGCAGACAGTGTTATCACTAACCCAACTGACTGCGCCCAAAACATTTACCTGTTGCAGGTAAACAACGACAAGACAAAAAGAGGGCATAATCAATAATTACATTTAGTGAAAGTCCTACTTGCATAAAACCACTGTTTAAAAAGCACTTCAGTTTATTTATCTTAACATCCCAGATCGCAGCATTGTTATTCCATAGCAGGAGCTATTGAATTAAGTGTAATTTTTAATGAATTTTGTATATATTTTTAAAAGTATCAAGGATAATAATTAAGGGACAAGTGTGTTTCTTTTTCACTTGTCCTCTCTCATGTTTGAAACAATATCAATGACTTGATTTGTGTGCAGATGGCTGGCCTGTGTTGGATATCTGTGCTGCTGGCAGTCAGTCTGTCTATTGGAGACTGTGCGACGCTGAAACTAGATTACGTTAAAAGAATTGCTCAACTCATCCAGAAAAAGCGAGTCAATTTGATTCTAATAGTACTTAAAAGTTCAGCGTTCTTTAATCCTTTCAGAGTATTGATGTATTTTATTGATGTAGGTATTGGAGATAGTTGATTAGTCACCAGAAATATCACAAAAGTCTTTAAAATTAACACTGAACGTTGAGAAAAGTGTCTCCACAACAAACAGGTTTCAGTCTGATTATATTCACAGTCACTGTATCCAGAAAACTAAAGGTCCAGATCATGAAGATGTTCCCCCTTTTCCACAATTGTATTTTGTTTGGAGCTGCAAAACATAATTGATAACTTATAAAGTTGTATATATTGTTATATCATACACAAAAACTACAGTTTTTTTGTATTTATTATTTATTACATTATAGAAAACGGTTTACCTCTAACAATAAACAAATAACTCCTATAAAGGAGAATACAAAAATACACAGGCCTAATTTAAAATAAATCAACACAGCACTTGGGGAGTCCTCTGCACATTTGAAAAAAATGTATATAATTATGATGGGCCCACTTTGAAATAAATAAAACATATAGCTGCACCCTAAAAAGAGTTAACTGAATTATGACTGAAGATCGTCAGCTGTCTTCCTCTTCCGTTTTTCTCCTCGATACGTAAAGGCTGCAGCACCTTTGACAACTTCTCTCTACATATCAAACATACCGGTAAACCAGCATCGTTTGCTGTGAAAGCACATACCTCTAACCACGCAGGATTAAACCCTCTGTGTTCCTCCGATACTTTTCTTTTCTTTGATTTATCCATAGTTCGCTCATTGAGCCGGGGGTCAGGTTATTCGCCTGCAAGAAAATGAGCTGGTGCGGGACCGTAGCAGGATGTGACGCATATTTGAGTTGATCTAATTAAAACAGTTTTTTTAATTATTTGTATGTGTCACAGTATCACCTCAAAATACAAGATACGAAACATTTTCAACCGTGCAACAACATTTAAATAGTCCTACAAATACTTTAATTTGATTTACTTATTTTTGCCTAAGCTCAAGGGAGCCAGAGTGGAGGGCTTAAAGAGCCGCATGCGGCTCGAGAGCCGACGGGTTGCGGGTTGCCGACCCCTGGTCTAGCATCACCTTTAGGATGACATTTGTGATTTTATAAGTGAAATGTCTCGACAACTTCCTGTTACACTAAGGACTTGTTCAACCGCCTCAGTTTTAGTTCATGTTAGGTGCTCATTAGTCAGTCTTATAATGCTATCACCATAAAACATTACCATTAACAGCAATGTTAAGCCCATTAATGGTAGCATTTATCTGAGATGATTGCAGTGTGGAAGAACAATCTCAAAGACTCAGCATGGCTGTAGACTCTCAGTGTTGTTTTGGTTAAGTCCTCTGACATTTCAATAAAGTCTCCACTGTCTTTAGTTTTACATCTGTTCAGCTGGTTAAGATCTTAAGTGAAAATCACTAAATCAAATGTGCATCAGTAACGTTGTCTGATCTGAAAGTAATGTCAGTACTTATTGATTACCTACATATCAAATGGAATATCAGGAATGTTATGGAAATAATTATCATAGACGCCAATTTGTAACATACAGGACAAACCTTGATGTCTGTTTACCTTCTTTAAGGACACAGGCTGCTTAGCCAATAATGTTATTGTTCCCATTCTGTGACCGGTCAATACTGGGTCACAGATGGTCTGTGTTGTGGGTAAACTGGGATACTTCCTTCTCTGTATTTGTGGACTCCAAGGTGAAATCTTCGAGGTCATAAGTGTCCGACGCAAGTAACTCAGTGTTCCCACACTGTTTAGGCTATCTTCTCAAATATGTTGTTTACTCTCTGCGAAACCAGTTAGATGGGCTGGCAAGAGAGAGGCTCTCCAGAAATTGACGTGGCAACTCTACCGTGAAGTCAGAACCTCTGACTCTTGGACTTGTGATGTGAATCCTCCGGCCGTTAACTCCAAATAAACCACCAGTGTTTGACATCAAAGCTACTGCTCCTACCGTGTCTCCTTCCTGAGTCGGTGACTCCCACTGCATAGCTACACAGAAGTTTCCTCTACAAGGAAGATGTTCTTTTTTTCGTTTTTAGGTGTTTTATATAAGACAGCAGAACAATGTGACCTTAGAAAAGCAGGAGGGATCACAATGTGTCCTCTACTCAGAGAATGTATGTTTATGAAAACCTGCCTTTCATTAAGCATATTCAAGCAGTAGCCTATACACCAACAAAGAAACACATGAGCACATACATTTAAAAAAACTCATTCAAATGTTGCAGCATGTATACTTACCATTGTGTATGAATACTTGTACTCTGACAAAAGGTAATACTGTGTGTCTGTTTTATTTGACAGCTTCCAACAAAATGGGAAGCAGTTCAGCGTGGCAGTAAACATCCCAGAGGTCCCAAAAACAACTAAGGAGTTGGAAGAGGTTATTTTACCTGTCAATCGGGAAAAGTTTAATGATGATCTTGGTAAAGGCAAGGTGTACAAAGGCAACAATGCTGTTGTGGCAATTCCTCAGAGGAAAGACACCTACACTGACCATGCAGAGGCACAGGTACTAGACAATTTAGGCAACTTAGCTAACACACATAAGGGTAACATTCTGGTCCTCTACTCCTGGCTTTCTCCATGTGGTGACAAGTGTACAAACATTAACAACCAAAACAATATCTTAACGAAGATCAAAGAAAAGGTAAAGCCAAAATGGAAAAGCTTTGCCTTTGTGTTTCATACAGTATATACTTGGTTCATGGACAACAACAAGAACAAGAAGGACATTCCTGAAGCTGACATTAAAATGACATTTCGTAATCTTAGACAAGTAATAGTTGACGACAACATTTTCCGCTGTTACAAGCCAGAGAAAAAAAAATTCCAATGTGTCAAGTGCTTCCAAAATCCTTTAGATGTTGATCCTGTGGCTGCGTGTGTTAAAAAGTAGGAATGAATGTGTGTAGGCCAAAAGAAGAGCTGACCTAGGCATTGACACAACTGGATCCTACTAAAATGTTACTTTGAAAAGTTCATTAATGCTCAACAATGCACTTCCTGCTTTAAATTGCTTGATATTACACCGGCATGCTAAGGACCCAAACACACTCATATTTGGTCACAAACTAATCAGCAGAGCTTTCATCCATTTCTTGCAACATAACTCTGAGGTTGATTTAATGTTTAGTATATTGACTTATTTTGGTGTTGTTCTATGTTAATGTTGTGATTTATCTTCTGTACTTACTGCAGTTTGACTCAGTGTTGGTTTGAGAGGCATTTTTTGTTCTATCCAAATAACAAAACAAAAAAAGCCAAAATAATTACAGTCCACTGAGATTTAGAGACACATAATAAATGAATGACGTATCAAATTAAAATGTTGTGCTTATGTAACGGCCTAACAATTTAACATATTACGGAGGGAGGTTTGATATTTGGTTCATGTTGAAAAAGTGTTCAAAACATATACTACCCTATTTCAAAAAGCCAAAGAAATGTTTAAAGAGTGATATTGTTTATTGTACATCAACCTCAGTCATAGGGTTTAAGTGATTGTACTCAATACTTATGTTAAGCTTTACCAAATGATTTCTGCTTTTTCTGATTAAAGCTTTGCTAAGCATTCTCACTCTGTCTGTGTGTCAATCATCTGGAAACTCATAACAAAACTGTTATTTGATAAACTGAGCTATGTAAGTTGAACATGAACTAATTATACTACTGTATAGCGTATGCTCACGTCTGATGGGAGGTTTGCTATAAGAGTGCTAAAAAATAAGAAATGGATGTAGGGATGAACTCCAAGAGAAGGAGCCTCTCAAGTATTACAGTACCTCCTGCATGTTGCCGTGCCTTCAGCCTTGATGTTCAAAGTGTTTCAGAAACCACATGGCTTGTGCCATAACCCTGTACACACAGTGTTAAGACTGACTGTCCACTTTCCTGTTGTCTTGTAATGGTGATCTCAGCACTGACTTTATTTAAGTGAAAAGCTTCTTGAACAGAGAAACAGTAGTTGGACAAAAAGCAGATCTTAAATCAAAAAGATCATGAGATGCAGTTGGGTATAAACAGAATAGTTACAAAAAACCCATGCTATGTGACGCATATTGTAAAGTAAGTACTAAACACTTTTCTGATATTCACTGAATAAATATATTCATCGATAAAAGCTGTTCTTTAACAATAAAATCAAGAAAAGTTTCCGGTAATGTTGGTTAATATTGATAATGCCATGTTTCTGCTGTCATGTTTTGGAACTTACTGAACTTTAAGCTAAATGTTGTGTCATTTATTTGTCTTTCTTCAGAAGTGCCCCCTGCACAGGCCACTGTTACTTGGTAGATCACAATAACTGAAAACCACTTCTATTTGTATCTTTCTCATTTGTGAGAAAATGCAGAAGTAGACATATGAAGCTCAGCAAGTTCAACCAGGAAGACCGTCTTTACTCATTCATTCACTATTTCTATGTTACTACTTTCTCTCCTCTCAATAAGTGATCGGGGGCGTCACTCCCCAGCTTAACCAATCACTTCGCTCTATTCTCACAAGCCTATCATAGCGCTCCGCTAACTCTTTTAAATCTGCTCTCCCCCTCTGACAGCTGTCATTTCAGGTGACTCGACGCAACCCTCCTCCACCCCTTTTCACCTCCTGTCCCTCTGAATCCAGGGTCAAGCTAAGCCCCTCCCCTTCAGACCGATCCCAAGTATCCATTCACCACCACCAGGGTCAAGCTAAGCCACTCCCCTTCAGACCGATCTCAACTATCCATTCACCACCACCAGGGTCAAGCTAAGCCCCACCCCTTCAGACCTATCCCAACTATCCATTCACCACCACCAGGGTCAAGCTAAGCCCCTCCCCTTCAGATCGACCCAACTATCCATTCACCACCACCAGGGTCAAGCTAAGCCCCTCCCCTTTAGACCGACCCAACTAACCATTCACCACCACCACCAGGGTCAAGCTAAGCCCCTCCCCTTCAGACCGACCCAACTATCCATTCACCACCACCAGGGTCAAGCTCAGCCCCTCCCCTTCAGACCGACCCAACTATCCATTCACCACCACCACCAGGGTCAAGCTAAGCCACTCCCCTTCAGACCGACCGAATAATTTGTTTTGTGTGCAGATGGCTGGCCTGTGTTGGATATCCGTGCTGCTGGCAGTCAGTCTATCAATTGGAAACTATGCGACGATGGATATAAGTTATGTTGAAAACGTTTTCAAATCAATCTGGACCAAGTGAGTCAATTTGATTCTAGTCGTACCAAAAGTTCAGCATTTATTGATTCCTTGAAACATAATGTGTGACTGCTTGTGTTTGGGATGCACAAACCCTGTCAAATTAAGAGAAAGCTTAAGACTTTTCCTTTTATTAAAGCTTATATTGAGGGCTGGCTAAAGCTTGCCATTTACATCCTCCTGGGTGTATTTTAATGCATTTTATTTTATTATATGTCCACGTTACAATTGTTGTCATGTGTTGTCTACTTTTATAAATGTATTCACTGTCATGTATGTTTGATGATGTGTACACGCTGTACTCTGAGACAAATCTTCAACTTTTTATTTTGAGATGTATTTGTTCTGATTTGAATGCAGTTGTAAATATGCCAGTCACAAAAGGTATCACAAAAATCAACCAAATCTTCAAAATGAACACTGAAATCTGCTTAAAGGTGGGGTAGGTAATTCACTTCAGAAACACTTTTTGTTATATTCCATGGAATGCTCTTAACATCCCGATAGCAATGAAAAAATTAAATGCTTTGACAATAAATACATTAAAAAATGTCATCCGTGGAAGCCGTGGCGCTGTAAAAAGCACGACCAATCATCTGAGCCGGCCCGGCTAAAGTAACTGGATGGCCTACCTGCCTGTCAGCCTTCCATCTGTGCACAAACTTATCTCGTGCCCTCATTGGTCATGTGCGCGTTCGTGTGTGTTGGAGGAGGGGCTCAGCCTACCTTTAATGTGAAGATTTAATGTGTAACAAATGTTTTATCGGACTCATATCATTGTAATCAACACTTGTTTTTTCTGATTAAAGCTTTGCTAAGCATTCTCACTCTGGCCGTCTGTGTGTCACTCATTGGGGACTCCTGCATAACATAAGTGTTATCTGATAAACTGAGCGACGTAAGTTTAACACACCAAACTAACAAAACTGCTTCATAGCTTATGTGCTCACACCTAATGAGAGTTATGCTACAATAGCACAGACAAAGAAGAAACAGGTATAGGTGATAATAAATCTAACTAAATCATCCAAATGAACCATACAGTTAATTCATCACCTATCTGTAAACATTATAACTCTAATGCAGGAGTCACTGTATAATTGGACTAGAGTTTTAGCTTGGTGTTCCTAATAATCTAGCAAATTAGTCTTGTTACCCTCGCTTCCTGTGTGTCAAAGAATAGATTTCAAAATACTGCTGCTGGTTTATAAAGCATTGAATGGTTTAGGCCCAAAGTACATTTCTGACCTCCTGCTAAATGATGAACCATCCAGATCTCTCAGGTCTTCAGGGACTGGTCAGCTTTCTGTCCCCAGAGTCAGAACTAAACATGGAGAAGCAGCGTTTAGTTATTATGCTCCAAATATCTGGAACTAACTCCCAGAAACCTGCCGGTCCGCTGCAACTCTGACTACTTTTAATTGATATATTAAGGCTTATTATTTTTAGGGTTAAAGTCCCCTACGTGTATTGGGGTTAAAGTAGTTAAAGTCATTATTGGGATTAAAGTCCCCTACGTGTGCCGTTTTGGTTTCAAGACCCTGGTTTGCGGAGGACACCAAAAAAGTCCTAGAAAAGACAACTTAAACTTAACTAATGTGCTTTTAAAAAAGAGGAATAGTTTTGGCGAAAACTAGAAAGGTACCATGGGGTCAGATTAGAATGTTCTAAAGGGGGGTTCGTTTGAAACACTTGAAATAACTAAAGCACAAGTTATTATGAGATGCTGCAATGATCTGTTTGGTGTTTCAGCCAATCAGAGACAGGTTCTGTATATATCTGAGACCTGTAATATATTGATGAAAAACAGTATGATCGGGGACCTTTAAGCATATTCAAGCAGTAGCCTATACATACACCAACAAAGAAACACATGAGCACATACATTTAAAAAAACTCAATTCAAATGTTGCAGCATGTATACTTACCATTGTGTATGAATACTTGTACTCTGACAAAAGGTAATACTGTGTGTCTGTTTTCTTTGACAGCTACCTAATCAAATACTGGCATTTCAGCGTGGCAGTAAACATCCCGGAGGACCCGGAGAAGTTGAGTGAGGCTTTTGATAAGATCAATTCAGTCTGTTTTCTTTGACAGCTACCTAATCAAATACTAGCATTTCAGCGTGGCAGTAAACATCCTGGAGGACCCGGAGAAGTTGAGTGAGGCTTTTGATAATATCAATTTGGACGATGTGAAGAAAACTTGTATTGATGAAGGCAAGGTGTACATAGGCAGAAATGCTGTTGTGGCAGTTCCTCAGAGGAAAGACACCTACACTGAACATGCAGAGGCACAGGTACTGGACAATTTAGGCAACTTAGCTAACACACATAAGGGTAACATTCTGGTCCTCTACTCCTGGCTTTCTCCATGTGGTGACAAGTGTACAAACAGAAGAAACAAGAACAATATCTTAAAAAAGATCGAAGAAAAGGTAAAGCCAAAATGGGAAAGCTATGCCTTTGTCTTTCATACAGTATTTACTGGGCCCCGGGGCGGCAAGCAAGCTACTGAAGCTGAAATCCAAAAGACCCTTCGTAATCTCAGAGAAGTAATAAAGGACGACAACATTTTCCGTTGTTACAACCCAAATAATACAGGATTCCAATGTGTCAAGTGCTTCGTAGATGCTTCAAAAACAGCTAATCCTGTGGCTGCGTGTGTTAGAAATTAGGAATGAATGTGTGTAGGCCAAAAGAAGAGCTGACCTAGGCATTGACACAACTGGATCCTACTAAAATGTTACTTTGAAAAGTTCATTATTGCTCAACAATGCACTTGCTGCTTTAAATTGCTAGATATTACACCGGCACGCTAAGGACCCAAACACACTCATCTTATTGTTGGTCACAAACTAATCAGCAGAGATTTCATCCATTTCTAGCAACATAACTCTGAGGTTTATTTACTTTTTAGCATAAGATTGCCTTATTTTGGTGTTGCTCTATGTTACGTGCCGTAGTGGGTGCTTGGATGTGTGCTTGTGTGTCTCTCTCCCTCTCCCCCTGATTGTCTCCCTCCAGGTACAGCCTCTCCCTCAGGTGCTCCCAATCCCCAATCAGGGCCTCCATAAAGGACCTGAGGAAGGCTGCAGTCTCCCTCTCCTTCTCCTCTGGCTGCATGTGTGACCAGTGCAGCATGTGTGGTGTGGTGTGGTGTGGTGTGGTGTGGTGTGGTGCGGTGCGGTGCGGTGCGGTGCGGTGCGGTGCGGTGCGGTGCGGTGTCTCTGTGTGAGACCTTAGAGTTTAACGTGTGTTTAGTTCATTAGGAGGAGATGTGCTCCAGTGTTCTTTCGTCACTTTCTTTAAAAATAAAGTTGTTCTTTGTTTACATTAGTTTACGTTGCAAATTGGCTGGTGAGGCCTCTTTTTC